TCAAAGAAAGCATAACTTCTTATTGTATTCAAAAGCTGACAGAAAATGAAAATAGTTCAACTAATAGTTGAACTATAGAAAATAGTTCAACTAACTCCAAATAGATGCTTAATATACAAGAACTTTTGATCACAAGAAATGTACTGAAAGCAACCAATCAGGCTTTTTTTTTCTCCCCTTTGAGTTTACAGATCCCTAACTGTTCTTGAAGCTGAATGCTGAAAATTACAGATAGGGCCAATTGCAAAAGCACATTGCTTTCAAGGTAAAAGTATTTCTTCAATATGTTGTAAATGTGTTAAGGTTTTAAATAGTATTTTATAATACTCCTACTAGGTTTTAAATTGCAAGATTAGTATTTTCTTGCTGAGGGGCACAAAACTTACCAAGCAGGTAATCTTGCCTCAACTTGCAAGAAAGTAAATCAAACATAAACAATGTAATCACCACTCTACAGGTTTTAAGAAACCATATCTTTAAAAACCAAACTACAAACCATCTTGAGAAAGCATGCTAATAATTTTCTATTATTTACAGTCCTTTTCATGCAAATGGTGTCTTTATAGCATTATTGAAGAGCCATAAAAGGGATCCCCAAACTTCCCCACATTTACAGTGCACACATTTCACATTGTCCTCAGGGCTGAATTGCCTTACAGGGCATTGCCTTACAGCAGGCATGAGGTTCTGGATTCAAGACTGGGGATCCTCCATGCTCTTTGTCCCAAAACAAGCATGTCCCCAACCTCATTTGGGTCAGTCCCACTGACTTAGTAAAGAGTTCAATTAAGTTTGCACCACTTCTGGGATTTTGACTTTTTTTTTTTCAAAGGTATTGGCAGATCTTTTGCATTAAAAAATTACAAGAATTTGGAAGGTTTATTTACTACTGGTTGTCTCAACCAATGCAACAATCCCTCTGTGAGGAATCACTGTGTGCTGACAGATAACTGAGAAAATGAGTCATGAACTATGTCCTAAAAAAATTAATGTCAAATGAGACTCCACAGAAAACCACATGCACAGGCATCATAAGAACCTGAACCACTACCTTGCAAAAAAAACACGTAAGCTGGTCTGGTCTGCTCATACACATTTTTACTGCACCACTTTCTCGTACAAAGAAATTTTCTCAAGAAGAGCTGCTGCTGGTTCCCAAGTGCTCAGCTGTGACTTGGTGGACACCTGCACCCTGTGTTTTCTTTTTAATACAATCTGCTTATGTGAATGAGTAGAGTGTTTGTAGAGTGTACACGAATCTGTAGAGTGTAGATATTTGTAGAGTATATATGAATGTGTAGAGTGCTACTTCTGGAGGATCCAGAAGTAATTATTAAATTACTAACTCTGAAGCTGCTGCATAGAAGAAATCTGTATGAAAGCTATTCTGTTCTAGATGTGCAAAAACCTGACTATGAAGTTCAGATACACATATGAAGTTCAATAAAGTGTGGCCAAAAAAATCTTTGAAAGTCATACTGTTCTCTTAACTCTCAAATGAAACTGAACCCTAAACTACAACTGAACCCTAAACTACACAAAAGAAATACTCACAGTGCTTTTGTTTCTTATACTTTTGATTTAGCCTAAAGGTATTGCTTTAAGGCTAAGACAAAGAGGTTACATACAGAAAACAGCTTACTCAATCACTGTAAGCTGTCAGCACACTTCCACATAACTTACTATAAGAAAGCAAATAAAGGTTTGCTAATTGGTAGACCCTTTTTATTTTTTTTTAACTAAGTCTATTTATTAACAAAAAAAAGTTCATATCATACTTAAACCAGTATCTGTATTAGCAGTACGGTATTTTTAAAAAAGTCATAATTGGATTCCATTATTATTAAATTTGTAACAGTTTGAGATTGGAAGCATATCTAAAGCACTAGTTTTAAGAACATGCTTGCTCAATTGTAAAGAGTCCTTTAAGTCCTTTTATCATTGTCATAATGAAGACTTTTATTACTGTCATTTTGATTACATCATACAGAACATCCAAATTTTAAGAAAAGTTCAAATTAAAAATGTTTTTGTATCCCAATTATGACCAGCATGAGCTCATTTACTACCAACTGAAGCAGTTTGATCATTGTTTATTGTTTGGGGGTTTTTGTTTACTATCATGTGGTTTATCATTTATCAGTGTAGGAAAACATACTGACACTGAATATGTATCACAGCTGAGGTCACATTACTGCCTTGCAAAGAAGTTAGCAGGACTAAATACATGTTCACATTTCAGGTATTTCCTGTTCGCTGTGTAAAACATTAATCTAAACTGCAGGAGGACTTACTTGCTGCAGTTTATAAAGTACAGTTGGTTTTGCCATGAAGTATTAGACTGCACAAAGCAGTGGAGAAGTGATTCAGCTACAGCTGAATCCTGCTCAGAGGGGACAAGGACCCCCAGCAGAAGCAGGAGGCACGTGATGCATGAGAAGGGATGGAGGGAAGAGGAGAGGAAGTGTTTCCAATTGCTGCAGCCTTTTGCACACTGGCCACAAGTCAGAAATCTGACCTAGTCGCTCAGTGGTCCAAATAAAAACCAGGAAAGTACTTCTTTTCCAAGTATGGTTAGTATACTGCAAGCACAGTATATATTAAAGGACAGAAACTTCTTGCACTGTAATAATGGGAAAATAGAGCAGCTCCATAAGGAGTTACAGGGAATGCCTCCAATTGACCTCCATACTCTTCATACTGAACATGTTACAAAAATGCAAGAAAGAACACTTAATGCTTTAACTTGCCAGAAGTGGAACTCCCATTCCACATCACTTTTTCCTTCACAAAGGAAATTTAAAATTCAGCTGAACAACAATAAAAGGAGTATTATTAAAAAAAAAATTTAAAAAAAAGGTATCTGGTATAAACTAGATAGCATTAATTCAATCCTAAACAGAAACTACCAGAATTCCACACAAAGCTGGAGGGGGTGGCCACTCAATCCTCCAATTATTCCCCTAAATCCTGACAATAAATTTGAGTAAAGAGGCCTTCATTCACTCATATCTCAAAAAAAGTAATTGAGAAAAGTCCAAGAGGAAAGCTAGAAATTATCCAGTTTAACTTACTGAAGCGTCTTGATATAGACCACGTAGCTCAACCTTCACAGACACTGACAGATTTATGAAATTATTCTCATCTCTATGCAAGTCTGGCCAAGTTTTGGTCACAGACTCAGAATTGTCAGATTCAGACTATCTTTATGGAAATAAAATATTGATGCTGTCATCAGGAACTGAAATGTGACAGAAATTAAGCCCTTGATAAAGTTACCATGGGTAGAAGACAAGGCAACAACCTCAAATTCCCAACAGGCCATGAGACTGAATGCCACAACACAAACATGAATACTTTCAGAAAGCAATTTACAAAAATTTAAAATAAGATAGGAGAATTCCTTGAGCAGTTCATCCATGCAGTCTCAAGAAATAACCTTTTTATGACACAATGAAAATGAACCTTGACTTTCTCAAACTCTTAAAAATAAACAAACAATAAACAAAAATACCCAGAATACTTTAACTTCCTCATAAATAAAAAGTCTAAAATTACCATTTATAGTATAAGACTGGCTTAAGTTCATAAGATATTAATAAACGTCATGGAATGTCTTTAAGCTAACAGCAGTTAGCTAAGATTTCTTTCTTCTTTCAAATCTTACATTGAACATAGCTATTAATTTCAGCTGGCAATAACATTATCTATTACACTACTATTAATGACTGAGGAAGAAAACAAACTGCTGCTATTTTTCCATTTCACTCCTAGAAATTTTCTTCAATTATTTTAACTGCTAAAAAAAATGAAGTCTGTAAAGCATTGTCAGGAACCATCACTACAGAGAAATTTAAAAAATTAATTTCATAACTTGCCATTTTTCCATAATCTTTAACCGATTCATTTGCAAGTACTTCCTGTAATTAATTTTTCTTTCTGCATACACTGCCTTTGAGAAGAGTATCAAGAAGACTTTTTCTCCTTTACAGAGGCCTAGGGTTATTAGTTATCTTATGCTCCCTCTACTGACTGTATAAGAAATGACCTCCAAGCCTTTTAAGATGCTTCTCTGAGAGAAGAGTTTAGGATTTGATATAATGCTTCAAGGAATTAAAAGAGCATAAAGTACATTTCTTGGAGTGTCAAATCCTTGTGCAAGTCAGAGTAGAACATCTTTTTCTTCTTTCTAAGATAGAAGCCTCAGAAAATAAAACCTTCCGGTAGCATCCATGGTATTAACTACTATACAAGCCATTTATGATACCCTGAGGAAATTTCTTCAAAATGTTTCAAGGGTTTTATATTTAGGTGGAATATGAAAACTTCAAACTTCCATTTCTGGTGTAGTTTTTAGCAATATTTCTTTATAAACTTTGCTGTTCATCTGAATCCACAAAACCTACCTACAGTCTCCTTTACCATCCTCCTGTGCAGGACAGTAATCTACTGCCAGTGTGACACGAGCACCATATTTACTTTTCACATTTTGAAAATAAATCACAAAATGGCCAATGGGATATAATCCAAAAAATACATCAGGGAAAATTCCCCAAAATTAAGGAAGGTCTTAGTATACAACCTCTGTTATCCTGAAAGGTGAACAATCTTCAGGAGAGCTTACTGTTTTGCTATTCTTTTACTGAAGAAAAATGAGTCATCTATTTCTTTTTATAAAATGTCTCTTAGTAAAGATAATACTGAATTGTCTCTACTTATTACATGAATCATAATAGAAGATTTAAATATCATATTTCACTGTTACATCTAGCAAAATCTATTTAATTAGTTTTGCTGTACATTGGAAACAAGTGATTTAATACAATAATGACCTCTACATCACGAAACCAAGCCTTCGTTATTGAACAAAGGCTTATTAGATACATTCACACTGAATGTGAAAAGAGGAAAAAAATCAAAAAGCCATGATGAAATATAATTCCTGAACATCATACACACATCCCTATTCCACTGAGCCTTAACAACATCCAGGTACTTACCAGATCAATCAGACTCTCCTGGATTCTGTTCAGTGTGGTGCGTAATCTGCTGCTGCTGAGGCCCAGTCCTGTTGATTCAAACTGGAAGAAATACATTCCACTTAAGTTGGGAAAGGAAATCTCTTTGGTTTAAACTTTAAAGTTATACAGCAAAACTTGAGCTTGCAAAGACTATCTACTTGCTCACATTAAAATTTTAGCACAAAATCACAACCACACAAAATGAAAAGAAAATCAACAGAGGTCACAGCACTCAACACTGCACTGGTATGTAGAATGACCTAAGTATCTTCAATGAAGATGACAAAGTATCATTCATACCAATAAAACATCTGGTATCTTAAATACATCTTTTTGTATTTAACTTCGGGGCTGTAGATTTTCTTATTTGGGCCTGCAATGGCTCCCCACATTTCTCATTGAGCCTGGAATGGTTCCCCACAACACCATCTCTGAGCCTTGCATTCACACCACATCCAAGTCAAATGGCTTTCATTCTTCTTTCTAGCTATACAATCCCTTGTAATCATCAAATATATATCTTGCATAAGTAAAAATTATAACCACTGATCTTCATAAACAGTCATTATTACTTAATGCCTACAAAGATCTGCCTCAGAAATGTGCCATCTTAATGCTCACAGCTCCGGAGTGTATGGGGCTGATGCTCAGCTAGGATATACAGTTAAATATATATACACCTATGCTATACATATGTATTTATTTTATTTTTATATGTATGCACACATATATATATAGCTACACTAATTTGCTCCTGAGTGCAATGGATTATACAAGCTGAGGGTCTGATTTGACATGCATAATTATTGTAACTTCTTATCTTCTACTGTTAATAAAACCCCCCAACAAACTAACACAACAAAGAAAGTGGAAACGGGATGTGCAACAAACACAAACTGAAGTCAACAGCCTGGAAGGATTTGAATACAGTTCTGGTATGTGATTCACACCAAAAGGCAATTTGCTGAACATTATTTAGGGCACTGTTGTATGCTGCATTATTAGACTTCAGGGAAGGAAGTATTTGAGTTTACGTGACCTCCTCCCCTGTGTGAATAAAGACAGGTATAATTTAGGTCACCATTTACTGCATCCAAAGTTTCTAATTTAAAATGTCCATCTGCCCCAATCCTCCTATATTTTAAATGACAATTTACATCAGAGTTGAATTCCCACTGAAAGTACACTCTGATGAAATCTATAACCTGATCTAGGAGACACATCCACAAGAACAGAACCTCATGGCTTCACCATGAACATTTCACTCATCAGTACAGCTGACTCAATTCATACAAGTTCTTGCTATTTCTATTTGCCGAACTATAGATTTTTAAATTCCATAAATTTATGACCTAATAAGGCTAGTAAGCAGAACATTAAACAATTTGCAGAATAATTCTGTTCATCACCAATTTTACCTCTTGTCATTAACCTCTTATAGTAATTACCTCTTATACTCTCCTATAGTTACTTTAAAAAGTAAGTTTACAAATTAGTGCAATGCCCTGTCAAAAAAAAAGAAAAATAGAAAAATCACCTCAATTTGTTTCTGCTAAGGAAAACTATTTTGTGGCATGTTCATGAATGTCTTAAATTTTAGTGAGTCGATGTTAAATACAAGCAATCCTTTTAATTTTTTCTTGCTCCATAATTTGAGATAAGGCCGGCTTAATTTGCAGCCCCCAAATAAAAAAGTTTTGAAAGCAATTCTGGTTACAACAGTGTTTAATTTTTGGAAGTGAAGAAAGCTAATACTGATTACATAGGATAATGATTTGAACAAGGTCTGGAAAAAGCAATGACAGCATCATGAACAGACATAGAACTCAACACATATGTTTTAAATCCCTGGTTTTCACTAAGCTGGCAATGAACTCTGTATGACCAATCACTCTCCTTATGTGTGTACTAACTCACATATACAAAATAACCATAATATTCACATATAATTTTAAACATTTAAGCAAGTTATACCAGCATACTCTAAGAATCCCATTTGACATTATTTTCTGAATAAAAATAAAACAGGAACTCTCTGAGTGGTCTAAATCACATACCATCACCCATCTCTAATTTCTAAAGGTTTTAGAAACACTATGGGGAGTGAGGACATTTAAGCAGCATTACAAGAGGGTTTATTACAATCACAAACCCTTGCAAGCATTGTGTTTCCCATGGAAAACAATCTGTCAAAACAAATACTAGGCACAGTACAAAAACATCACAATTCTACCACCCATCTGCTAGAACATTTACCTGCCTAGCACTGTGCTGTTCTCTGTTAGAAGCACAGAGTGAGGAAGCTGGTATGGGCTTTAGAAACACAAAACAGGAGGTGCAAAAAAATAACAATAAATGCAACACAATGTGAATAGCAGAGCAACTAAGCCAATGGAAATCAATTATCTTAAAAAACAAACCAAGAAGCCCCAAACCAAACCCCAAACAAACAAACAAAAGGAAAACACCCTCCACCCATCTTGTAAACACAACTTGAAAATACATTTGTCCTGCCAAACAGTTCAAAACCTTTTAGAACCATATGTTGAGTCTGAAAATTCATTACAATTTGCCAACAAATGATGATGGATTTGGCATCCCTCGACACTGTTACTTGTGGAGTAATTTAGGGGCCAAGATAGGAGAAAGTTGTTTTCACATGCAGCTATTAAGACAACTCTATTGACAGCTGATCTATGTTATGTAAAGACATTGCCGACAAGCATTTTTTTCAACTACAAGATCCCTCAAAAAAACATTGTTTTCATTAATGCAAGTAGTTTGGCAGAAAAATACTAGATATGAAAAAGTGTCTTTCAAATTTCTTAAACTTAAGTTTTCATGGCCCCCTTTTTCTACATTCGCTATTCTCATGTAAACTAGAGAAATACATACAGAAAAATTCAATCACCTTATATTGTCTAGGCTGAAACCACCCTTCTGCAATCTCCTTTGCTACCCCCTTTCTACTACTACTTCTAGGTATTTCACATTGTCTTTCCTCCTGTTCAATAGTGCTGGGAAAAAGAATAGAGAATCTATCTATTCAAAACATAATATGATTAATGTCTCACTGACAATAATGTTCCCAGTACTTCCTTCCCCTATTGCTGATATTATCAGCTTTTTCTTACTCCTACATTCAAATCCATTTTATTGCCACTAATTTTTCTGGGAATTACATATTAGATAGCATTTTAGGCAAAGAGATCTATGTATTTTCATTCTCTGTGTACAGTGATACTTGAAAATAAAAAATGCTTCTACGTACCATGTCATTTCGGCCAAAAAACGTATAGACTGCATACAGATAATAATCAAAGAGCTGGGACATGAAGTGGATCACATCAAATGCAATAGGCTTCAGAATATTCATCATCTGCATGTATTTCCCTTAAAAAATCAAATACAGAAGATCAGTTTCCTCAGTACAAGTGCTACAAAGTTCAGAAAAACTCAACGCCAACTTTACCAAGCATACTATGTAGCCTTCATCGTTTATTAACGACAAATTAATAATAGTTTACAGATTGGAAAGGTTTAAAAACAAAGCTAAAATGATAGCTTAAGACACCAATACTTCTCAAAATATAGATGTTAATCCATTTTAAAATGTAATCAACCGTTCTCAGTCTTCTGGTACCAAATTCAACATACAACTGTCTGGATCCTCTACAAGTTTCAGCTTCATTTAGGTAAAAAATAATTATCTGCTAAAGCAGTGTCTGGCAAATGCTATAAAGAGCCACTGAAGATTTTATGCTTTAGTGTGTTTATATATGCACATATGGATATTTTTCAAGCAATAGAAAAACACAGTATAAAAATGATATGTCCAAGATTGGATTTTACCCAACAACTGTAGGAGTTATGAGCTTCACATCAGTGATACAGCATTTTCTGCTCTCCTTCCTTTCTATCCTGTGGTAAGACTCTCAAGTAGTTTTAAGTTTGAAATGCTTCCAGGGAGAGAGACTATGAGTACCGTGGAGCATCCAGGGAGAAGAATAATTCCTTCTCTTCCTTACTATTCTCTGTTGTAACATATTGGACTTCAGAAAATAATTTTTATTTAAAATTATAAAAAACCTCAGCCTCAGGATCTTCATCTATATGTTATCTGAATCAAACTGATCATAGGATTTGAAGTCCAAAAGGGATTTCTCCTTACAAGCCTAGTTCACAGGGCCTATAGCTTTCACTTATTTTTGTTTCCAGCATAGGACATGGCTCTTCATTGGGTCAAAAAAGAAGCACATTTAATGAAAACCCTGATAGTGCAGAGACCCCGCATTTCCTGCTAGATACCTCAAAAATGACATCCTGCTGGTCCTTTTACTGTTCTAAAAACATAACATATAACAAATGTTATTTTGTTACCAACAAACTGTTTGGTTATTACAATAAGAGACAGACAGCAATTTTTTAACCAAAACACAAATACAGTCCACCCCAGCACGTAGGATACAGCAGGTCATTTCACAAATTGTCATATTCTAGACATGTTTAGATGTGACAGGTTAGAGAAATTACAGGAAGGTGCTAAAACAATTTCTTTTTCCTGTAGTCAACAACACTCATCTTCAAGTTAATACTCTGCCCAGAGAAGTAATCTACTAATAGATAGAGAAAATATTGGTTGAATCAGAGAAACTGGGGAGCAAAGAAACAAAAGCTAGCTTTTAATAAAGGGGGAGTTATTTTAATTTTTCAAGCAAGTAATTGTGTAGGTCAGCAAAGATAACTAACTTGAAACAGGCATGATACAGCTACATACCTGATAAAATGGTAGAGCACTAGAGTAAGAACCAAGCAATAGCCTGACATTGCTACCTTCCAGGTTTCTATCTAATTTAGACTCCTTATTGGATGACTACACCCTGTTTGCTGAGACTTGCAAGCATATGTTTTGTTATTTTTAGAGATTTGACAGAGGTTGTAATAATTGATATTTGTCACTTTAGCCCTTTTGTTACCTCTATACTACTTAATTATTAATGTTTTGACCCATAGTACTATGAACAAACTGAAAAGTGGACTTAAAAAATTCTATTTGTCTTCTAAAAGGGAATATCCAATGCACAGTCCAATGTGGAAATTTTTGGATGCTTGTGAAAGGATGGTACTGGTACCCTAATTAAAGCAAGCGTCACCTGCATTCATACTATCTGAATATTCTGTATTGGACAGGCTGACTTTTTCCACTTACTCTGTGATAAACATATTTTTCAATTTGCCTGCAATCCAATATGAGTGATGAGTCACAATCTGGACAGTTAAGACTTCCAAGTATCTGTGCAGCTGGCATCAATACTGAAGGTAATCTCTTGGGTAGTGTCTTATGCTTTTCCAAAGGGCTATGCACTACACACTGCCCTGTAGTACTGTACCTATAAAAATCTTCCAGTGCCAAGAACATTTCTCTATTACTACATCACTCAGCATCTTGACACAACAAGTGTTCCAAGAACATTTCCTCCTCGTTGCTCTCTCTCACAGGACACCAGTTTTTAATGTATACACATTGTTACCTATACTTGGGCTGAAGTTACTGTTTTGGGTTAAAAAGGGATATATAAGAATACTTCCAAACAGCACAAACACAGTCCAAAGCCATATCAAAATAGAAATTTCCAGAAATACTTGAAAAAAGCACCTTAAGTTTCAGCAACTGAAAGTAGCTTGAATTTCTAGATGCTCTAGATAGCTTAAACTGCTAACGTTTGCCAGGTTTCTTTTGAAGTATTGTTTGCAGAACTCCTTCTGTCCTTAAGGATAGCAAGTAGAGAGCATTCTTTATCAGACTAATCTATACAAAACGGATGCACCTCACAAATTAGCGCACACAAATTCTTGCCAATAAATCTTTACCAGGCCAACCTGGTAAAGTGAGCTTTAAATTAGGAAAGATGGAGTAAGGGGAAAGTTACAGTGACCATGCATGCAGAAAAATAAGGTTTAAGTGGGATACCTCCAGCAGGTACAAGCAGCCAAAGACATAAAACAGGACTATGGGACATCCTCTTGCACTCCCACTGGGATATTGACACACTGAAATACCTCTATGAAGTGCCTGTACACCAATGCACAGAGTAGGAACAAACAGGAGGAATTAGAGATGTGTATGCAGTCACAGAGCTTTGATCTCATTGCAGCTATGGAGGTATGTTGGGATAGTTTGTGTGACTGGAATATTGTCATGAAGGGCTACATGCTGCTTAGGAAAGAGACCTGGAAAGCACAGTGCTGGAGTGGTGCTGGATGTGAGGCAACACCTGGAGCTCTGTCTCGGGGTGGATGATGAGTCAGTCCAGAGCTCAAGTGTTAGGATAACAGGGCAGACTAGTAAGTGTGACGCTGCCAGGGGTGTTTGCTACAGGCCACCTGATGAGGAGAAGGAAGTGGATGAAGTCTTTTAACAGACAAGTAGAAGCAGCTTCATGGTCACAGGCCCTGGTTCTCATAGGGAACTTCAGTCATCCTAACATCTGCTAGAAGAACAAAACAGCAAAGCACAAACAGTAAAGCATTGACAACAACTTCCTGACAGAGATGGTGGAAGATACCAATGAGGAATGGTGTGTTGCTCAACCTTATACAAATGAACAAGGAAGGACTTGTTAGAGGTGTGAAAGCTGGGGACAGCCTTGGTTGGCTACAGTGACCATGAGATTGTGGAGTTCAGTATCCTGCATGAAGGAAGCAAGGCAGCAAGCCAAATTGCAACCCTGGGCTTCTCAAGAGCTAACTTCAGCATCTTTGGGGATGTTCCTGGAAGAATCCCATGGGGAGCTCTGCAGGAAAAAAGGGTCCAAGAGAGATGGTCAATATTCAAGCACCACTTCCTCCAGGCTCAAGAAGGGTGCATCCTGATGAGCAAGAAATTGGGCAAAGGGGGCAAAAGACCAGCATGGATGAACAAGGAACATCTGCCAAAAGTCACTAAAGCAGGACAAATACAGGAGGTAGAAGCAGGGACAGGCCACTTGGAATTAATATAGAGATGTTGCTGGAGTGAGCAGACAAAGACAAAAAAAAGGTAAGGCCCACCTGGAATTAAATATAGTCAAGAATGTCAAGGACAACAAGAAGGACTTCTTCAAATACATCAACAACAAAAGGCCTGCTACTAAATGGAGAAGGAACCCTGGTGAGGGGACACAGGAAAGGCTGATATACCAAATGCCTTCTGTGCATCAGATTTCATTGACAAGACCTTGGGAATCCCTGTCCCAGGTGACTGGGAAAAAGGAATGGTGGAAGGAAGACACAAGAGCAAAAACACTGCTTTGAAGGAAGAAGTCTCTTGAAAGACTGTATGAAAGACTTTGAAAGTCTGTTGAAAGACTGTGTGATTTAAGGTTTTTGAAGTCACAAGAGGTTCTATGTTATGTTACCAATCACTCACTTCAGCTAACAACTTCTGCTGTGAGGTTGGTCATCACTATTATGATTTTCTTGCAAGATAATGGGGTTTAAAGCAAGCAAAATCTAAGAATTTGTCCTCAAAACCCATTCTCAACTCGAGCAAAAATAAGGCAAAAAAGCATTAAAACCCATCAATATAAGAAATACCCACTAAACTACTTCTTAGGTCAGAATGATACTAATTAAGAGATCACTGAATCAATATATAAAATGACATAATCATTAATTATTCTTGTTGATATATAGTGCTTAGTTGAATTATTCCATACAAATTTAACACAGATTTATTCTTCCTTTACATTTTAAGTCAGCATGCAATGGCTTGATAGGAAAAATTAACCTTATAAATTAGTCTAATGGCTACTTCATACTAAAAAGAGAACTAATTACCTTAGTTAATTAATGTGAGAGAAATCTGGAAAATGAACTGTTAATTTGAAATTCAAACAAAAATTGTAGCTGCTCCCACTTCAATCATACATTAGCAACTCATTTATATAGTTTATAAATATTAAACTACTTTTTTAATTATTCATTTACCCTCCATACAAAGCATACAGCACATAGAAATACTTCAAAATGGTTACAACAAACACTGTCATACTCATTCAGTATGACGCAATGGGCACTACTACTTTCCTAAAAAGTAAGACAATTATTTCTGTTACTTGATTGGGCAACTTAAATCTGCATCTTCATCACTATGACTGAAAAACAGCAAAGGAAAACATAAAAGAGGGAAAAAAGTAATCCAAATAACTACTGATCCACTGTTTAACTTTAAGGATGTAGAATTTCAGATTGTTTTGAAGAAATTATGGAAATGACAGAAAGAGAAATATGGAGGCAAAATTAAGATAAATCATGGATCTAACAGAAGTGAACTGTACTAGACTAAAGTACATGATTTTCCACACAAAGGACACAGTACATTTCATCCATCTGGGATTTGGTAAAAGTATTAATATAACAACATTGCACAGTAAATAAATGAAGCTAAAGTGTGTTGGAAAGGGAAGTAACTAAAAAAGCTACTGGTGGAGTTCCCAGCAATCGGCCATTTCATTAACATTTTCATGAATTACTCTGGCACAAAAATAAGAGTGATAATAGAAAAAAATAAAGAGGCACTATCAAAACAGAAAAGGACTGACATAATGTACAGGAGTACTTGTTGACTGTTATAATAAGAATTGGGTGAAATTCAGTAGCACAAATTGTAAATCCATGCATTTAGGGGACAATTAATTAAAAAGCATGCATCTTTCTACTATAAACTAGCAGCTTATCTCTTGGAAAAAAACTGGGAAAGTGAAGGATCTGCTGGCTGTACAAGGTCATTACACATTGCCAGTACAAGGAAGCTGTAAGAAATCAAAAGAAGTGCAAAATGGAAGGAACTTAGGACCATGATGCAATGATATAAGAATTGGACAATGCAGGAAGATCTCATCCAAAATATTGCAAGATTTTGGTAAGATTACAACAAGAGCAGAAATTTGAAGTTTCTGGTGGATAAATACAGGGGACACTAGAAATCTTGGCACATTGTTTAGCAAATCAAAGACTGAGAAGAAATAGGATTGCTTCCTGTAAAAACAGCAGAACAGTATGCATTGAAAAACAAAATCATCTGTTAAACCTCAAAATTTCTTTTGTCATAAGATCAAGTCAGCAGAAAATAGGAAGATAATTTTTTTATATTCTTTAGGATGACAAGGCTTCTGAAATAGAATTCCTATTAGAATGAGTGGTGGGAATAGAAGTATTTTTAAGCTGAAGCTCAAACAAGCATATTTATAGGCAGTACTAAATGACATCTTCCTCCTGCAGGAGGTGCTTTCCAAGTCCATGTTTTAAATAACATCACTATAATACAAAATATTACAAATACTATCACATTACCAAAACAATATAAAACACCTCAAACAGCAGAAAATTTGAAAATTAATAATAATTCCAGAAGGAGAAAAAAGCATATATATGACCATTTAAAATACTGCTTAATTTTGGGGTTATCAATATAATCTACAAATAGTTTTCTTTATGTAAAATCGGAAAACCAGAACTACTGCTTCACCTACTGGTACAGTGTTTTATGGCAGGGACAGAGGCTGAAGTTTGCATGAAAGTGCCATGAGTGGTTTCTATACTCAATTCTCAATTTTCTCAAAGCAAAACCTTATAGCAGAAAGAGCAAACAAATCTCTCCAACCAAAGTCACAGATCAATCACAGAAAAGTCTCAACAGAATAAACTCTCATTTCAGGTCTATATGGTAAATTCTCAAGGAAAAAAAAGGTTTTTAGCAAACCTGCAAAGAAGATATAGAAAATTAATTCCTGACTTTCATGCTGCCCTCAAAGGGAGCAAAAGGTGTTATAACCAGGTGTTGGAGTAACCTTTTTTAAAAGGGCTTACTCTGAATGCAACAATCATTTTCAAATGCCTTTAAAGGCAAACCTCATTAATGCAACACATACAGAATTCCTCTCTTTCCTGCCTACTCAGATATATTTAGGTAGTTACTTTCCCTTCTCTATAAATAAACACAAGTCAGTAGCAGAAAATAGCTATTGTACAATTATCTAGATCATCACACAGAAGGCATGATCACAAAAAATCAATCCCATCACATCTAGAATTGGAGGCAAGTGTTTTCATAGAAAAAGCTGGCAAGAAAAGCCCTCAAGAAGTGGCTCAGTGCAACCTCCTGCTCAGAGCAGGCCTAAAGACACAAGGCTGCTCAGCAGCCTGTCCAGTCACATCTTGATGACCCAGCAGGGATAAAGATTCCCTAAACTTCCTAGGGATTACTAGGATATATGGTGAGCTCTTTTCTTCTAGTTGATTACTATGTAGTAAAAACAGTTATTCTGACTGCGAGAATTTGAATAATGAAACGGAAAAAACCCCTAGTCATAAAGTTCTTACTTTTGCAACTATTTTACTTTAAAATAAATCTTGCTTGCTGTATCTACTCTTACAACACATTCAATATTTCAGACAAATAAACTAGCACTATAGGTTAAAACCAACATATGCACGCAGATTAATTTTCCAGGTAAAAATAATGCACAAGATATAAGCAAATTTGTCTATTTAATTAAGGAATTTTTTTGGTGCTTTATTTCTATTTTATTAACATTTTCAAAGAGCAGAAATAGAGCCCAACTAAGTATATTTTTCAGGGCCTTAAATATCATTTAACATATTTGCTATAATCCATAAGTTTGTCAAAAATAAAAAAGAATTCATAAAAAAACAACAATTATTCTACATACCAACAAGCCTTATTACATTCAGCGTAGTGTTGGTTAGAATAGGTGCATTCACTTTATTGAGGTTATAATCTGATTTCTTTCTGCTCCTCAGAGTTTCTCGAGAAACACTTTAAAAAATACAAAACAAAATACAGCAAATATGAAAACATTCAAAGACATACAAATGAAATTTAGTGGAAAATGTGTTATTCCTCCCCCCTTCTTTCACATGACAGTATGTCTTCCAGTGCAGAATTTTATTTATGCCAAAGCACAGCAGGGTTAGGATTCTAACATTTAAGAAAGAAGCCTGATCTAATTTACACAGAATTGTGCTACAGAAGGAATTTTTGACTTTTATTCTAATGCTGGAGTGCTGCAGGCCTCTGTCTTGCCCAAACAGTCATTTTAGTCTCTCACTCTGAATGAAATTCATAATTCACAGAGAGAATAAAAACAGCACAAGTCACAACAAAACAGAGGCAGATTTGTCAGCTACAGCTGAAAGTTGCTACCTAGAAATAGAAGCAATTTTGTGGAAGGTGAGACTAAAAAGTGATTAACTTTTTCATAAATTTTAGTCCTGAAACAGGCAGGAAGTTGGACTCGATATTTATCCAACAAGACACATTTTAATTTTCTTTAAGAGAAAACCTCTGCCAGTTGCCATACCTCAAAATTATATTCTTCCAAAAATTTCAATTTCACAGCACAAACCTATGGACAGCAACTCTTGCTCGTTCCAATTAAATGATTTTTAACTATATCTCCATCACTTCCTTGAAAGGAAGCAGTTTACATGGTATACCTTAGAGAAAGAATCATACTAACAATATTTTATCCTAAAGAGTTAACTTGTAACTACTCTGCCACTCTGCTTTGATCCAAGTGATGGCATTCTAGTTGTCCTGCAAACCCTACATAAAAAAATGTTAGCCTGCTTCACAGAGTCCTAATGTACATCTAAGTTGTACAGTGTCCTAGACAGAAACTTGTTTTCAGATCCTTTTAGAGGATACTAAGTTGGCTTTTTTTATATGAATATATATAAATAAAATACTTTTTATATACATTAAAATAGAATATGCATATTCATTTATATACATCTATGGTGTATGAAAGAAAAAGATAACTTAAAATTTAAAAGTACTGCCTTCAAGCCATGGAATAGTCTTATTTTTTTTCTTAACCTGTAGAAGTTTATTGTTGTGCAGAAGCCCAAAACTCAAAGCATTTGTCTGCAAACAACCATTTTTGACACAAGAGAAATTACATATATGCACAAAAGCTGCTATAGAAGGACCTTCAGTTAACATCTAGTCCTTATTAACCAGTTTTCCACTACCTGCTTCAGAGATCCTTCATCTGCTTTCAAAATGTTCCTTTCTTCAGGTTTTCTCTGCAATAATGATGAGTGATTTAATGTTCCTCCCCACTCTAGAGATCTAAGTGCTGAGCCTTCTAACTGTGCAGGCAGCATAATGTTTATTTGATTATTATTCCACTGTTGTAGATTACAGAAACTGAACTAATTAGAACACTGAGATGAAAAGCATGTGAATTAGACCAAGGACCCACACAGCCAACTTACCTTTTTATTGGGGCATCTCCTGTCTGCTCATCCACATAATCTCTTTTCAACTCTTCAGGTACATCACTGTCACTGTCATACTCTTGATATGCACTTTTTTCTTGTTCATCTGATTCATACTGGTAACAAAAAAAAAAAAAAAAGTAAAAAATAAATTGACTACAAATATTACTACCATTATTTTTCTTATAATGTTATCACTCATTTAATGTTGCACTTTGGTCGCTTTTTGGCTTTTACCTTGACTGGGATACAAATAACTTTGCTGGTTGAAAGACTGCTGGCAATGTTCTTTAAAAATGCAAGAGGCAAATTATATTATGTTGATTAGGTAAATACCTGCATTTCAGCTACCAATAATTTGTGTTGCTTTCTAGCTGATGTATAAAGTGCCCACATATTTGAGCTTTTATTATTTTGTTATAATCTGAAAAAAAACAGTAATAAATCCTCAAAATTCATCCACACAGTGGCAGTAAAAAAAAAAGGAAAAACACCTGGCACTGCATAATAGTTAATTATTATTGCAAGAAGAACTAAACTATTGCTTCACAAAAAATACTTCTTTATACTGTATACATTTAATTAAGAAAACAACCCAATACCAAAAAAATAACTTGCAGTTATGCAGAATGCACCTGCACTTTTCCTTAACACATACACTGCTTTTAAGTCACTTTATCCACAGAGTGACACAGGCAACGCACTCTGGTTCCGGGATCCTTAAGAAATAGCAGGCAAAACACACCAGGACCTGTATTTTTTTCAGTCACACATGCCTTGGCCCCAAGTTGCTTAGAGTTTTCAAGGCTAGCACTGTGAAAGCACTATGTACAAAAGCAAGAATCCCACAGTACAAACAAATTCAACACAAAACCAGCTCAGGTGGAAAAAAGAGAACATAGTATGAGACACTCAAAAGAAATGTTCAGACCAATAGAATTCCCAGGCAAAATATCTGCATCATGAACATTTTAAACAAAGGAAAGCTGTAAAGAAAGCAGCTAGTTTATTTCAAAACTGAGCTGAGGACAGCCTTGACTAAGGACAAAAAGAACCACAGTTTATCTAACTTGACTGGGACATTAGCACAAAGAATTACACCACTTATTATGCATTAGCATATAATAAATCACGTGATGATTCAATTAAAATCCAGTGACAGTAAAATGATAAATTGACCACAAATTTTTAACTACAGTTCACATTGATGTAAGAATCTATCAGTTTACATTAATGAACTGTCTTAATATCATAGAATAGGAGGGATTTAGAGATTACTTTTTTTTTAACAGGAAAAACACTTTTATTAAGTCCTCTCAATCTAATGCAATTAATGATCTGGAACAGCTATTTATGAGATAAATGCATTTGTATTTTAAAGTATGCATTAAATAACAACTATTAAATAGTGACCTCAATCTGAAGAGACCTTATAAATCTATTTTGAATATACACAGTCTGCAGTAAAGTTTTGAAGTGCTAAAATAATTCAGGTATCTTGTAGCAATAATGAGGTAAAGTGTTAAGGCAATCCACTCAAACCAACCCACAAGAAGCTGTAAGATTCATCAAAGTTGAAGAGTGTTACAATACTGGAAGTGAACTGTGGCACAACAGACACATTTTAAGAAGCTACAGAAAAGGGACATAAAACATCTCACCAAAACTCAAGATACAGAGCTGAGCTAATTGGGTCCAGGGGCCCCATTCTGCAACATCTAAGCACTTAAAAAGACATTAAAATTCTCAAAAGAAATCCTGAGAATTCTTCCCACCCTACAGATAAACTGACAAGTAAATTAAATGTTTACATCCTTATTGTGCTACTTCTTTCTACATTTGGCAACATGCCTATATTCTCTGGAAACAAAATTTTGCAACCTCCATCTGAAATAATTCCAATTTTCAGTGCTAAAATGTGCCTCCACCTTAATTGGTCAGTCACTGAAACACAAAACCTTAGTAAAAATTTTAACCTGCGTTATTTAAGCAGGTTTTCTATCTTTCTATGTAAAGAGTAACAAAATAGGTGTACCTTCTACATCTTAAACAGTTCTTTCTGTGTCAGCACTTTGGAACAGACAGCTGTGAAACATTAAAGGTTAATGGCTCAAGCAATTGGCAATTTGCAAGAGCAGCAGGTGCTCTGCTGAGGCCAGGTTTGCACAGCCAACTGTGTGCTGGCAAAACCTCTGATCTCCATAAGACAGAGGAGGTGCACACCCACCACCAAAGGATGACCATGAAAAACCAGCCTTTGTTTAGCAACAAGCCATTTTTTGACCCAGATATGGAAAAAGGTCAGTAATAAACAGATCTTGCGAGACAGGATAATGCTTTTTATCATGACAATGTCCTTCCCATGAGGAGGTATCACATAAGCCTTAAGGTATTCACCCCTTCTGATAAAGCATAATTGGCTCAACTAAGCCAGGTCAAACAGCAATCAAGTTATTAAGAAGGGGCCACAAACCACCAAAGACCCCCAAAATGCCCCCAGACTCATTTCTGCAGCCTTCCACCAGAGGACTGCACACAATCCACCGTGTTGCAGCAGCCAAAAACACCCCTCCAGTGGAGGTACCTGGCTGCTCTCCCCTGAACACGAATGTCTATTAACCCAGTGAATTTTCATGTTTGGTGGTTTCCCTCAGCCCCAACAGATCAAGATTGTGGCCATCAGTTTGACCAGCGGACACTGAAATTGTAAAAACCAAGTCCCAGTTAGATCCAGGAGTTGTATTATCTTTCCACTATCTACTCTTACCTCTTCCTTCTTTTTTCTTTGTATATTTCATTAAGTTATATCTTGATACTTTTATATTGTTCTATTACTGTAGATAACAACATGCTAGATAAAATGGCTACATACCTCATTTCCACTGAAACCAAATTGTTCTAAAATAAACCTGGCATACGTACATACATACATATGTATGTATAAACACCAATCATTCAGTGTTGTTTCACTCTAATCCATCCCAAAGGACCTATTAACAAGTACCTCACTTACCCTGCCTCTGGGACAGAAATGCAGAGAAGAGACTAAAAATGTCAAAAGGGAAAGTAGGACAGTCATCTGTAAAGTACAGTCACCTCAGTCATAAAATACCTTCATTCCAGTACCAGCCCTGGGAGATATCCTGTACACAAGTTAATTAACTTGCTCTGTGCGTCCATTCAGAGAGACAAATTTCTGTCTGTTTTACACTTGTGTTTTGTAGCTCATGCAGGTTTCAGAGTGCCAGTAAGACCTGCAGACCGCTACTTCTCTCATGAGCCTGCAGTCTCTGTGACAGAGGTGCCTTCAAACAATAACAATTCAGTGATTCTGTCTTACTGACAGAAGGCAGCAGTGTGACACTTCACACTGGCAAAAGCCAAACAAAACAGTGTCTACAATATGTTCATCAGCATCTGCTACCTAGTTTTTCATCAAATGATTTAATGCTTGCAAAAGCTTAGCACAGAGTAAGACAATGTCTTCTAAATTTTTCTTTGAGCAAGGAGAAACAGATTCTGAAGGTTAAAATGTTAGAAATAGAAAGACTGAAGAAGGTCTGACCTAACTTGTATTCAGAGTTTTCACGTCTCATACGAATGTGCAGAGAGAAATAAAAACACCTCAGCCTATCCATAGCCAAGAAATTAAGACAATTCTACAAACACTTACTACAAGTGTAAGTATGCTGCTTACAAGTCCCTAAACAAAAAATATGGGAACAATGCAGGCTCTCATTCACTAGCAGCAACCCAGAAGGTATCAGAGGAGTTTGAAATCATTAAGCAGCAATTATTCTTTTTTGTTTTTAAGATGTTATCCAGCCTCAGTAGCACAAGTTAAGCCCAAGAAAACATTACTCTTCAAAGGAATAAACAATAACAAAAGCTTAAGCAAAAACATTATAATGTAGCATTTAGAAAATGGTACAAAGTTTTACATTGAAACACATTTGATCACTGATACATTTTGACAGACTTCTAAAAAAAACCCACACAGTTATTGTTCAGTTTTATAGAAGAACTCACAATAAAGAGAGTGTCCTGAACATTTCAATTACAACTAAAAATGATGTAACAAACATCAGAAAATCCATGGCAAATCACATTTGAGCAAACAAATACAACAAAAGGAGGAACCCACAACGATTCCTTCCTATGAAGCCGGAAAGCAAGTCCTAAAATGATAAAATTACCTCCACAAAGAAAGCTAACTTAAACCCCTGGAAAAATACTAATTTAGGCGGAACATGCCTTGCTTACCTTCAGGAATGCTTGACTTCAGTGGAAAAAAAGTACTGATTCAGTGCAAAGCAAAGTGAACTTTAAACAGGATGCCTGGCTTTCTGGCATTTTTAAAAGCAAAGCAGCACAGTACTGCAGGCAACAGATTCTTGTACTAAGGCACTTTACCATCATTGCCTCACAAAATAAATCATCATTTACTGAAAGCACTATTTGCCTTTTTTTGTTTGTTTGTTTTTTCCTGAAAGATTCCATACCCCATTGGAAGCTAACACATCTTCTGTCTCATCATCCTTGCTGTCAGCCTGAATTTCGAAGGGGTTTCCCCCGGCGCAGTACTGCTCGAACAGCGTCACCGTTGATGAAGCTGCAGAGGCTGGCTGCTTGCTCGGCGACACCGACGGGGAACGCGACTGCTCCATGAACTTAAATTCCTACCAACAGAAATAAATCACGTTTTCATCAGGCATTTTCAGTATTATTATGACTCCAGTTCCATAAAAACAAAGGATAACAACAAACTTGTGTACAATTAACTTTTAGCCAAATTTGCTGCTTATTTAAGCATGCTTTTCACGCTGGCTCAAGTTAACCTTGAAAGTGACAAACTTATGCTGCTTGTCTTTGTACTTTTAGAAGTTTTCTGCTACAACATGCAATACTACATCTGCATTCTGAAAGCATTTACTGTCTAAAACTAGGTGAAAACTAATTGTGGTTTTTATTTCACAGATATAAGGAGATAAAAAAATACTTAAATTCTATCCAGAAATGCAGTTTTCTTTACACAATTTACCTAGTAATTTACTAAAGCCGAAATTTTCTTGTTGATATTTGATTTTTAAAAAGTTGTCAAGATTTTTTACTTCTCAAACCCACTGCATTTCTGATCACTAGATGAGTATACAAACTTTTGCAAGTATATGGACCAAGCAGAATCCAAAAGGCATGATTTTTTTTACTTTTTTTCCCTAACAAAACACAACTTATCTCAGATGACATACCATTTTTATCTATTAAACTCTAGCTACTGATATTCATAATGGTAAAATGTACATTTTCATTTAACTAAAGGTTCAAAGATTAAAACACATGCAGCTAAAAGGACTACAATGTAAGATTTCTGTTTGCTTAACCAAATCAGTAACTTTCTGCCAGTTTCTGCTGCTCCAGTCCCTTAAGCAGTATGTACAGATTTATAATCCCATTTCTCTATTAAAAATATTATTTCTTTTGCTCCTGGATGCTGCTGAGGGTCCTCCCTCCCTTTCCCTCCATACTTTTAGTGACCCCGTAGTCTATTGCTTACTTCTACAGTTAACTCCACAGAGGTTGCATAATGATCTTGCTTAACATTGCTGTGCTAAAATATTTCTGAACTTCACTTATAGCTTTAATCACAGGCACCATGTTTTATTTGGCAAAACAAGTTAATTTCATCCACCACATGCTAAAAATAAAAAAAATCACTTCAGATGATTAGAAGGTAAGTACAGTGATTACTTGCTTTCAGTTGGACTTCACCACAGAAGAATATTTTTTTTCCTGTCCAAATGAGGCTGTATGACCTATGTTTCCAGAAACAGATGCCAAGTTGGTACAAGCTAGTGAGTGCTCATGCAACTACCTTCAGGCACTCATGTTTTAGCATCTTACTGTCAAATAAATAATTTAGAAATTAAAAACAGACATATTAACAGTACATTGAAACTAACATTACGTTGAGGCTAACATTATGCTTACAACACTAGCATCTTCCATAAAAACCTCTGCCTGCCTGAAACAGAAACACTACCATTTCAAAACCATTTGACTCCTAAGTTTCTAATATCATGAAGTAAAACTAAGGAGCTTTTAGAAGCAATTAAAAACATTTGTACAGTAGTTCATGGATCTTACTACTTCTTAGAACACCATGACTCTTAGTTATTAAATATTAATACATTTGTATATTTTATGCATAGAACGTACATGAAGCTGCAATATACTAAAGCTTGACTTAACAGGACAAAGTTCCCAGGTCTCATTCTCCAAAAACATTCTAAGTTCCTCAAGACGGGTTCTGAAACACAAAGGAATACTTTTAATTGGCAGAAAGAGTAAATCACAAAATTGGCAATTACTTCATTTCTGCAGTGAAGAAATTCTAAAACTGTACAAAAAGTTACACTTTAAAACAAGTATTTAAGCAATTCTTCCAACCGACAAACCATTTAAAAGCTGTGACTACCAAAGCAGTGTATTTTTTATGACACCTCTGCAGAAAGATATTCTTTGAGACTGTCTCCAAAATTTATAAACTAATTATTTTAGTCAAAACCATAATAAATTATAGAGGGACACCTACAATTATGCAGAAATACTGGATCTTTTTCCTCTGTAAACCATAGAAAGCAATATAATATACACAAACACTCCACTAGCAGCACAACAGCTTCTGAGAGGCACATAAGACAGGTATTTCTTTCAAACACACTGAAGCCACAGAGAGCAAAGGGAATTGGAAAGAAATAATATCCTACAGACATACCAACCTTTCAAAGAAAAAACTTAAATGGCTATTAGTCTCTAATTTTCTTCATAGCTTAATTTTACTTTGGTATCAGTAATACAGTAATAAGGAAAAGTAATCAAGCCATTACATCTCTGCATTCCTTCTGTTGTTTTTCATCACTAGAAAAACTTCCACTCTGTCATAAGCAGAAACATCTTTGATAAAGAAAAAAAATTTGCCACATAAATGAAACATATAGGAAAAGACAGCAATGAATGTTTTTTGGAATCACACTGCTCTATCTTTTCCTCTTAATATAGGGCATATTGTTTTGTTTAACAAGTAACAGTTGGTAGATTATGCACAGGGTTTCTAATTAGGCAATAAAATATTCTAGGAATACCACAACTTCAATAATGAACTACAACCACCACTAAAATTAAGATTTGCTTGCCACAATGAGATAAGCAATATGTTGAATTGTGACTACAGTTTGCTGTGTTTATTTAAATTCCCAAGTTAAACACAAATAGACTTTAAGTGCTATTTTCAGGGCATTGAGCACCCATAGCTTGCAGATCTTCTCACAGTAAAGTCAACAGAAACAACAGACAGAGATGCTGTGAAAACCAGCATTAGAGATTAAAAGTCTTTGTGAGGGAGACTGAGGTGAGAGTCATAGAAAAGCAAACATTCAAAAGCCACACAACAGGCTTTGTAGCATTTAGAATCTGAAACCAAGGCTCAGACAGATTACTTAAACAAATGTTCTTAATTTTTACCAGCATATACTTTTAGAAAGGGGAACACATGAAGACCTGATGCATTCATTCTCTGAAAAGCTGAAGTGATCAGACACACCTTTTTACAAGTGGTAAAAGTAAATTGCATTTCAAAAATCATCTTACTGATGCTCTTTGCCAAAAGCCCATTCTGATTTATCAGAACAATCAGCTTGCACTCAAAAAAAAGGCTTCCTGTATGCTCTAGTACTATGTTCTCTTCTATGTTTTTTGAATCACACAGCCAATTACTTTCAATATTTTCTCTATATTGGCAGTTCTCCATAACACCACACTGCCCAGGAGGCCACGTATGTCAAACTACACAAAGAACTGATTACTCCTGGACTCTAAGCATTACAGCTCTGTGTAGCTTTCATGTACTAATGAATCCTTAAAAGCACTCCTACTTTTTTTTTCCCCCTCCAATTAAATACCCAAGAGAAGTGAAAGCCACATTAGCTTGATCTGAAAAGGTAAGATGCTTAAAGCTTTATATAAAACAACCTAGGGGATATAGCTGTGAGACAGGTTTTTTATGGTTTTCATTCTGAGAATGAAAACATCAGCCAATTAATCTTCACAATACCCTTGCATCATAAAACACGTAAAAAGTATTAAAAGGTTTCATATAATTTAATTCATGTCAATAAATATTTATTTTCACAAGAATTACATTATCTTAAAAAACACAAGTTATTACAAAAAATTACTATTTCTATACATATTCCAGCAGTGTTCCTTAACCTTTATTTTACTCAAAGATAATTCAGAAAATTAGCCTATGATTACTTAAACTGTTAAACATACACAGGACTGTAACAGTCAAAATTATATTTACTTAACCCAACAAGGCACTATGTGCTAAGTCAGTGTTAAAAGATGGTTAGGTAGACCAAAATCAGTTCATGAAATTCTGTCTAGGATTCAGAAAAATTTCAAGAAATAAAAATAGGTGGCATCTCCTGACAAGACATAATGTGGATCTGATTAAGGCTGAAGTTTTTCAGACAACTGGAACTGAGGACTTCATCAAATGACAAGAATTCCTAGCTACAAACTACCAAAGCTGGAAGAAATTCCAAACCACATTCTCATCTTCTGAATTTAGACACTGTTTCATGTCCTCCTTGCCCTAATTTTCATACTTCATGGATTTTAGGCAGAAAGCCTCAGACTTTTCAAATGGCTCTGGATATATTAGTTGTATGATGGCTCCCAAACAAGAGCACAGCAGATCAAGACTAGGAAAGTAAGCATTTCCTAGAACATGGAAGTCTGTATTTCTTCTCATATCTTCCTAGATTTTACACACAGAAAGAACATAATGCTAGACAACTAGAATTAAAAAGGTGTCAATCACCCAAATCAAAACATTTCTAAAATCAAGACAAGTAAAACAAACAAATAGATAAGTCTTGATGCTGCTATAGCCATACATCATATCTGAGTCCAGAGAATGCCTGTCCATGACAATACATGGCTGGCCTCATGTGATAAGACAATAGAGCTGACTGAAATGTAATTACATCCTGCCAATGAACAAGCCGTGAAGACACAACTCAAAAGGATAGACTCAGTTCTAAATATCTTACTTGATTCAAGACAGAATTGCATATTGAAAAAACACTTCATAGTCATGAGCCTTCTCATTATGTCATAGTCATGATAAGTCTTCTTAATCAATAGCATAGAAAAAGAAGACAAAATTTTGCTACAAAGTATGGACTTCAGAGGCATTCCCTCTCAGGAGACAAGAGGCAACCTAAAAAACTACTGAAATTCTACATTAAAAAGTTGTTCATCTTTATGACTTGCCTGTTACAATTACAGTTTTCCACAAACACAGTGGAAGTGAAGGCTTCTCTATCCTCTCCCTTTCTCCAGGGCTCAAAGCCTTTTTCTCATCAGGAAACATACTCTACAGTCAATCTCAATGCAGGAACATTATGCAGCGGAATCCCTTTGGAAAGCATTTACCCAACAATAATAAATGTCATTAGAATCATGTACTGCACATATAATAGTCTCACCTGTGGTATGTTTTGAAATAGTTAACACTTTGTTTTCTGATAGATTCTTGCAAAACTTCAGACTTACTGCCACAAAATTCTTCTCCAACCTGCATCAGCCTAGAGTAATAAAACAAAGTTTAGACATATTTATTGATTTCTTAATACTGCTGTTCTAACTGTGAGTGTAGATGTATCTTCATAAACACAGAGTACTAATGTTACATTGCACTGTTAAGGTTGCATTCCACAAAAGTTCATGTCTCATTTTCCTTCAAATCCTATCATTGTGTGCCGTACACACAGAGACAAAGAGCCAAAAGCAAAATAAATGTATTTTTGAGAGCCCACTACACAGGGCAAGCTGTCAGTTCACAGTCTCAATCTGTCATTTTATTACCAAAAAAGAAGAATATAATATTGTACAGGTTGGCAGTATCACATCATTCTTCTGCTTGACTCAGACCCCCTTTAAAAGCTCTTAGAAAAAAAATTGCTAGACCTGCATATACCTTATCTTAAAAGCAGACAATACTGAAATCATATCACACTTAAGAAGCAAAGCAGTTCTTGCTACCTCCCCTAAATAGATCCTCATAAGCTCTCACATATAGAAGAATTGCTCTTCAAGCTATCAGCACACTTGAATGCAATTGGCATCAAAATGCAATTATCAGCCTTCACCAACAGAGCTCATTTGTGGACATGTACTTAAAGGTCTTACAACCACACCAGCATACCTGCTGATAACATCAAGTACAAATATGAAGTCATCGTATTTGAAGTTAGACAGATCTGTTCCCAGAAGATATGTTTTCACTTTCAGTTGAACATCCTACAAAACACAAACAAGTTTTTGTATACTTAGTACACTGAAAACAAAAAGTGAAGGCTTGGATGCCTCATTCATTAACACTTGTTGGTTGCTTGCAGTTAAAAATTCTTTTTTTGAAATTTAGAAGAGAATTCCATCTTCTGTAACATGGGTAATTTCTCTAAAACAATTTTATAATCAGCTTCTTTAGCACTTTGTAAAACAGATAGAGTCAATCCTAGATGCTTTATTGTCAGTGCAAAAACAGAAGGCAGCTTTTTCATTATACATTTTGGGTGACACCGCACACCAAACTGATCCAGCAATCTCAGCAGGAATACCAGGAAACCAGTCAGGTTCACAAGGCTCCAGGTTCTCCAGAGCTATGGTTATACCAGAAATATAAAGCAGTATACAGAGAAAAGCACATGAGAAGAAAAGAGATTGTGTGAGAGCACACAGGTTGAAAGAAATGGGATCAGACAAAAAGTCGTATTACTATGTTTTGGTATCTTGACTGAGTTTGGAAGCATTGCAATCACTGAGTCGTAGAAATTATATTTCTGTGGTCACTTTAAAAAAGTCCCTTTAAAAAAAAATCTGGAGACATTTCTTTAAGAACATTAGTATAAATATAACCATAATTAATACTGGAGAGGTGGAAGGGGGGGAATAAATACTTAGAGGGAAACAAAATTCAAAACCCATACCTGCCATATTCGTGAAAGCCCATGCTCCAATTTCTTTTTTACATAGTTGCGGTCAAAACTGCTCTCTTCAGTTCCAATCACATTGTTGCCATCTGAAACTTCAGGTTAAAGGCATTTTAAGTATTTCCAAAAGCTATGAAATTTATCCTACACAGAATTACACTTCCTTAGCTACTGCCATATTATTGATTATGCTAACTCCAGAAGAATTACTTTGCTATAAACTTTTGAACAGAAATTAATAATGCACATATTAAGAATATAAGCATTACATGCAAATGCAGACGAGGAGAGTTCCATCACCTGCATACCAAACACCTCTCCCCACAGTGCTCCTTGGGTAGCAACGTACTGCAAGGATCACAGTGAGAGCTCATCCTAACTGACCCTTGCAGTTCTTCATTACTAGGCTTCACAGCTTTTTCCAGACAAACTCCTGGCTTAGCTTCACCTTCCTTAGAAAAAAGAACAATTTTTCATGTGTAATTTTGTTGTCTACTGAAGAAGAGTCCAGAAACATAAACTATGTACATATGTCCTCCATTTGTCAGCATCGTGAAATTTTTATCAACAATGTAAGTATTCTTTCCTTGTCATGCCTTGCCCTGAATCCAGACCTTGCAGTCTAGAAGAATATCATGTAAATATTGTGAGCACCTTACTAAAGAGGCCAGTAAGGAATGGGAGGCTGGATACAAGATTTTTATCAGCCTTTTCAGATGTATGCAGGACAGACCCTGCAGCATTGTCTGGACTACCACATATTTAACAGAATGAAAGAAAAAACATCCACTAATAGGAATTGTTATGACTTGTATCAGACACTGACAATTCAATTAAACCAAAACAGCAATAGAGCACAGCAGTCTGACCATGTTCTGATTGTATCTCCTTCAGATCATCCAGTGCTCACTGTCAAGTGAGCAGTTTCCTTCTGTAACAATCACCAATTATAAATAGGACTTAGCAGTGCCTCATTCTCCCAGTCCTAGGCCAGACTCCTTGTAAGTAGAACAGTGTCATGTACATCATTCTTCTCCTCATCAACCATCTGGTTTCCAATTTGAAACTTTCCAGAGTATGTGTCTCAGAACAAGAACTATTGCCTATTATAAAAAATACTTATATAAGCTTAACAGGAGCAACAAAAATATTATATCTTCTACATCTGTACCTCCATTTAAATTCAGAAAACAGATTATGAATACTGAGATGGATGCTGGCCTTACTTGATTTCTTTCAGATGGAGCCATAAGGTGTGGCTGGACATGTTATTAAATTGTGTACCTTATCTAACACTGAGAAAGCTTTATTTGTAAACTAGGGATTACAGCAGTGAACACACAAACACTACCAAGAACTACTGGCAATTTAGTTGAGTTAGTGTGCCCACAAGGCTGGAACTCAAGAACACAGAAGCAGCACAATAACCAGCCAGAATGTAAAAGTTCCAGTACTGTGAACTGAATAACTCCTCGTCAAAATTAAAAAACGTAATAAAATACAGTACAGAATTTGGGTTTATATTAGGGATATTCATTTTTCAAGGTTGCAAATGTGCATTCAACTTTTTCGTGTCTTTAGACAGTGAGACTGTTTTTGCAGGTTAACTGAGAATCTACCCTAATAACTCAAAATGAGATGATAAGAGGCTGTTTTATGTGCAAACAAGACCTAAACTTAATTCTATACTATATCTACTGTTGCAGGGCATGCAAAAAATGTTCCTTAGGAAAGAAAAATAATAGAACAAATATTACCCACTGCCTACATAAATCATAATTTACTAATTGTACCTAAATATGCTCATCTTCTGAAAGTAATAATTCTGACAAATTCATTTTCCTGATCTTCCATGGAAGATTAAATGAAACACAAACCGAAACAATCTAAGAATCTAATTTCTATGAACAGAAAACCTCTAAGTGGATTTAACCTTTCCTGGACTATCAAGGAAACAAAACCAGCAATCTTAGCCAGAGCACGCTCTGTGTGTTTCTGCAACCTCCTCTCTTCTGAACTTCTGCAGACTCAAGGCAATGCTAAACAAAGCAGTGTCTTTGACCTGTTCTTTAGATTAAGACCATAGTCCCTGTACTCCCAAACTGCCATTCATGAAGCAATGGTTGGACAGACACTGCAATATAGATGTTATTGTTCACTAAAATAATCAATGGAATATTCTCTGTCAGTCTCCCAATGGTCTTGGTTTATGGGCAGTCATGCTAAGAGGTCTTGTTTCCAGTCTTCTAATGAACTGCACTGCAGCTAATTTCACAAATGCAAACACATTAATTTAGGATAATTTCCTTGAAAATCAAGGACTGCAAAAGTGTATACACATTTTGCATTGAAGAATTTGAAACAGGCAGAGAACACATATATTCATAACTACACATAAAAAGAAGGATCAAAACCACCCAGGAGTTATTATTTTAGATGCCTGATTTAAATACAGTGATTCTTCAGGTTTTTCAGTATTTCTCAAAATTCAAAAAGGCAGCTTTCAGTAATAACAAAAGGTTTTTGTTTAATCCCTGCATGATAGAGGAAAGCAAAAAAAAGGACTCAATCAAATCTCTGTCTTCTAGCTTCACTCTTTGAATACTAAGCAGGTCTTGCACAGAATTTACACAGTACTATAAAGGAAACATTTTAAAAATTAAAATGGTTGAAATTGAATTTACATCCTACATAATTTTCTTCTCACTTTTCTTTGAATATTTTACAGATACTAGAGCTGTTACCAACTTTTACTCCTAGGACTACACATGTGAAATCAGAAGTTAAATGCTATAGTGATCATTTTACCACTCACTTTCAGGTCTTCTGTTAAGTCATTGTCTCACAAACACATGTAAATTACATCAACATCACAGTAAATTCCATGCTATGAAACCAGGCAAGCCCTCCCACAAACAGTTGTGACTTCGAAGATCACTTTGCTTTGAGCAGGGAAAACAAAAATTATCTGCATAGATCCCTTTAAAATTCATTTTCTGTTTGATTCTTTACTAAAAACATAAACAATGCTCTGACCACAACAAACAGTGTAATGGAAAATTTTCCAGTTAGTAGTTTATTTTGAGGGATGAAATCCCGTATTACAGCAATTTGCTGTTTAGCGTACAAACAACAAAATCAAAGACTAAGTAGTAGTTGATTAAATATGACATAGATATAGATAAACACGACATTCATTTCACGTTACGTTGATAATTTTAGTTCACTAATTTTATGTTCAGTTTGATTAAACAAGTTCTACATATACTTAATTCTGTCTTTCCAAGGACTTCTTTTGTATAAGTTTCACTACTAAAATACAAAGAACTTTATTTATAATGTCTTTCAAGTCCAGCTTCTCACTTCTACAGTTGTACTTGTGCCCTAAGATCAAGAGTCCCTTGACACATTTAAGGCACTTTCTAAGAGTGTTGAGATTAACTGGGACAATACTGGGACAGCCATGAGTTCCCAAAACTATAAAAGCCAGATATAGTGGTACACCTACTGCTCCAGTCTGTGGGGCTTATATGAAGAACAACTTCAGCATAATTTCCTGAAGTGTCTCCCTGATTCCCTCTGACATACATGCCCATTCTACAGGAATTTTACTCTTTGACTTTACCACGTACCACAGCCATCAAATCAATAAGTATGAAATGAGAATTCCCAGTACAGTTTCAATAATTACTGTAGAATAAGCAATGAGTTTTAGAAAAATAACAACCAGTAGATATTTACAGTCCCTCTGAAATTAAACTGTACTTCTAAAATTCCCTTCTGTGTGCTTTATCATTGCTGAAGTATTTGAAAAAGTGATTCAGCAGATCACTACATTTCAGTTGTACATTACATTACATTCAGTTGTACATTACATTAAAGCCATAACTCCAGAAAATTAAAAACTGAGTAACAGAAGGCTAGTAGTTAAAATACCAAAACACTCTGGCATGCATTTAAAAGCAGCGTGTCTAAAATTATGCATCTGACTATATAAATGACCTTATTAGGCTTAATGGCTCCTGTAAAAGGCTTTAGAGTGCAGATTGTTTTCTTTCCTCAGGATGTCACAAGTAAGGACTGTAAGGGGAGCTAGTTCTGTAAGTGCACATGTGGCTGAATTAGGAGTCTACTGTGACCATTTGTCCATTAAGTAAGTTCTTTATGGTACCTGCATGATTTTACATCTGCAAAAATCACAGCAAGATGGACACAAGAGAAGAAAATGTAACTATCTTATTTAAACTGTAAATGTAAAAATATTGAGAATGGGCAATTCAATCAAAACTCTAGAATCTTTCTTCATACCACACAACAAAAGCAAATATTTCAACTCTAAATTTTACATCTGATACAGCTATAAAAACTTTCAACTCAAGCAATGGCTTTAACTCAAAAAACAGCTCCAGCAATCCAAAATATTTTTTTAACTAAAAAAAAAAAATTTTTATTATTTTTTTTAAAGATTCAACACAAAAGGGAAGGACATTTCCCTAAGCACTGTTTTAAGTAAAATTATTTATATATGCAAGACTGGCACATACAAATATTCATTAAAAAATTAATCTTATTCTGGAGAGTAAAAAAATCCAGTGAGTGCTTTAGTCCTTACTGCACACTATCAACAAAAATGCTGAAGGCACTGGGAAAAGACCACAAAGATACCAACACATAAATTAATAACTTGAGCTTAAGTTATTTGCAAATATCAGAAGTTTTGTTCCCAGAGGTTTCTTACCAGAAGACACAACTGCTGCCTCATCTTGGTCATGGTTCTCATGCCACTGCATCGTTCGGTAGTAACTGAGCATGACTTCCCAGAGGGCTTTGCAGAGATCAGCAAGGCATGGAATGTAGCTGTCTGATGTGATGTGCTACAGAACAACAAACAGCATTGGGAAACTTCAAAATGATGTTCATTTTTTGCTGCAGCAACACAAACCATAAGAAACTCTTCAAATTTATATAGCAGAGCTGACATACATCAGGTTCATTTTCAATGGATTTTAAGAAGTGACAGATTCCTGATTTTGGTCAACTAATCAAATGCTGTCCAAAAGTACAAAGTGTTTTTGTTAGCATCTTCTTTTTAATTTCCTCAATTGGCCTGTATGTTAACTACCTCTTACATTTATTTTACAGTGACACAGATGTAGAAGTAAGGCCATCTCACTACCAGAGGGATGCAGCTACCCTGTGTGTCAGTTCAGGGACACAGACCTTTGTACTGCAGTGCTACAGAGAAGCCCTCCTGGCAAATACCCCACTGAGTTGAATGAGCTCTAAAGTAGTAGTTAAAAAAAAAAGCAACCTGCTGATTCAGCAATTTTCTCTACTAACTCATGTTATTCTTCCTGTATTTCAGGGATTTTAGTATCTAAAATCTAAAGTTTTCTCGTGCAAATCACTATACTTGAAGACATACTGACTTTCAGGTGGACAGGAAGAAAGGATTACTTACTAAATACCAAGATAATTCCATTTAAACTAAGGAAACAACTGAATTTCTTTGAGCTTATATTAGAATAAAGAAAATCAAAACTTGAGACTGAAGCAGCAAAACTTTGCCCTGCTCCAGAAAAATTCAAAAAGAGAAAACATGTAAAAGCATGGCATATTGCTAAGAAAAGAAAGACTCAACAAAGAATCAGTGACCCTGAGTAGACAGGCACTTTCATAAATGCTTAAGAATTTCTGAAAATATTACTCATTTTTAAAATATTCACATTATTATAAAATTCAGTATCTGACTTCCAAATAGATGCAAACATACCAAAGAAAAAAGCCACTGTAGTCCTCCACTACCCAACTACAATGGAAAGCTAGACGAGTTTATTTTGACAGATTTTCAGAAACACAGAGCAGCATACCTACCTCAAAAGGAATACTTCAATTGTATATGACCTCCCTTGCTTAATTAGAGTAAGTACTCCATAACCCTTTCATGTTAAGGGAATCCTGGCTTAACAGCATTGGCAGCCTGAAGAAGGCTCTCACTTGAACTAAACTAAGAGAAAGAGGGCTCATATTTCAGTCTTGAACAATTTATTCCTCAACAACTGAGTGCATGAGATGAAAACCTGCTGTTTTTTCTACAGTAAGTTAGAAATTGAATTGCTATGATAGCTCATCTTATTTAGCACCCTGTTTTCACAAATGCGTTACAATAGGCAACAACCAACACTGAACAGCATAGTAAGAGACCAAAATTTCCCATCTGTAGCCTGTTCCTAAATATCTAATGGTTACCAAGATAGTAATGAAAAATTTAAAAAGTAAATTTCAATGCAATTGCAGCAATATTCACAAGTAGAATAAAGTACCAAATCTGAGTACCTTTATTTATACAGAATGCCAGCTATTGCAGGGTCACATTAACTTAAGCATCATGTCATTAAGACTGCATAAGTAAAGACTAACAGAAATAATGAGGTAATAATTTTGTAACCATGCAGTTAAAGCCACCCTCTTTATGTCTTAAAAAATGTGGTATTTCCAAGTACCTGAAAGATTCCTCCACACACTCAAGTATAAGAATAAACAGCAGCACACACCCTGGATTTTGTATAAGAATAAACAGCAGCACACACCCTGGATTTTAGAACTGGTCAGAAGCAGCTCAGTAGTAGCTTGTAAGTGTAAATAAGTGGGCTTAGTATCATTAGTATTAGCAAGGAATGGGAAATAAACTGAAGGACATACAGAAGTATAAAAAAAAACAAAACAAAACAAAAACTTGGAAGAAAAGTTCATTAGAAACTAAGAAACAAAATTAAAACCATGCTCTGAAGGCTTATAGCAGAAAGATGAAAGGACTGCAGTTTGGAGAACAAAGATCGGAGTTTGCTGGCTTTCTGCAACTAGAATTCATCTCAGTGAAGTGAAAATACCAACTACCCAGAAACTTACTCATTATATTCATGAATACTTCAGGCAATTATTCCCACTAAATTTATTTTGCTTATCACACTTTTATTTATATGAAGGCTCTTAGATAATGTAAACTTCTTAAGTCAAAGAGGCACATCTTTAAAATGAAATGGTTTACAATGCAGATGTGTTGATTACTAGTGGCAGCTACATGATCCCAGGAGATAAGAGAAGTGAAAGAACAGAAAATGGATCAGAATATGAACTTTAATCTCCTTGTGACTGCATTTCAATTTAATAAATTGCAACTGATGGGTGGGTCCTTAAGTTGATGAAGTATGATGAGGGCTTCATCTGTGACTGAAACAAACATCCTAAAGAACATTCAAGACAGAAACATAATTTCAAATGGTAATTCTACATTAAAACCACCTGAAATATCTCACATACTTCTTCCCCATCACTGAAATTTTAGAAAATTTCTCAGGGTGTAACAGTAAAATTCCAAGTGAAAATATTAAAAGAGTGAATTAAAAATTTGTACATTCATTCTAAAAACATTACAAAATATGCAAGAAACCACATTTAAAATTTGCAGTACAGAAAAATATATGTATATTCCCAGCCCATGATCTGCCTATCATCAGGCTTTCTCATCTCAATATTATAGCTGTCCCTTATCCTGGTATCAAAAGCACAAAACTAAATGTGAGAATGAAAAGTGAATGATACAAAGTCAGGAAAAATGGGAAGATACAATTAAATTGGAATCTTTACAAGAATTCTTACGGAAATGCAGTATCAGAGAAATTGTGAATACTAGCTAAAGGCACTGGAATGAAGTTCAAAGATAATAGTTATTCCAAAACTAGTATATCATACTGAAGACACACATTTTGAAATGTTGGTCTTTGTTTGTTAGATGGAGTGCACAAAATCTCCAAGGTGCTAAAATTTGGTGCAATCAAATTCAACATTAAGTTATGACTAACAAATAGCTCAAATAGTCATAAGCTGTATTAAGAAACTAGAGTGGCTATAGGGTTAACAAATGAGTCCCTACTGACAAAAGGTACACCTACAACAGTGAAAAAATACAGATTAAAAACAATACATATAAGCAAGAATTACATACTGTACAGAGGTCCTTGTACTGTAACTTCTGGAACTTGGTGTCTGTGTTTCCTGCACACAGCTCCACATATCCAAGGACTACTTGAAACACAGTGTTGTGAATGGCTTGGGTGAAGTGCATATGTAACTGGTCCATTGCTGTCTGAAAGAAATGGAGTGACATAAAACCAAACAGTAAAATTCAGTTTGTTATCTGCCATAATCTTTTAGCCATCATCTTTTAACATGGATCTTTTCAGCACTGAACACTTGTAAGCCTGTCCTCCAATCTCTGTCTTAAAAATACTGAACACAGATCTTGGCATTACTACAATATGGTCACACAAAAGAGTTTAGATATTGCAAGTAAAATCAGTTTCCTCCACCATCTTCCCTCTTTACCTTTTTTTTGTACACTGTCAATAGTAAATATTATTATAACATAGCTAATTATAGAATTTACTCACTCATTTAACCTCCTCCCAATTGTTCATAACACGTCAAAAATAAATGAGTTGGGATTCATGCTCTTTCTCCCACTGGGAAAGCTGCTAAGTAAATCAAAATATTTCCTTTGCAATCATTAAAATTAAAAGCACAAAGTCTTCATCCACTTGCCAGAGTGAAGAATCCAAAGTACAATTAACCATTAAAGAAAGGCATGCACATCATATAAATAAATTTCCTATAAAATTTCTCTTTTTGATAGAAAAAACAACTTTTTTTTTTAAAAAAAAAGACTACCTTTTCTAGGAAAAAGTAATATGTACTAATGACTAATGATTATGTAACATATTAGTTTGCCATAATAATGTCTGAGTTTCAGGTCAGGATGCTTCCCAAGTGTCCCTGTTCTTAATGAATTGTATGTAACATTATTCTATTTCAGAAACTGAATTTTCTCATTGTTTTCACATACATGTCATCAGCAGATTTGAAAGTGTTCAGTTTCACTACTTCCTATTTGACATTTTTAGCTACCAACAAGAGCTGAGAACTCAATTACTCCACAAGAAATGAAGAAGCAATTCTGCTTAAATCCTATTGAAAACAGCCAATCTCCTATAGCTAGTCCTAACCTGAATTAGCTAAAGAAAACAGAATGACAAATGAAATAATGAAAAGTACTGAAGATACTGAAGGACCTTGACATTTTGTTTACTGAGAAGAGGTCAATATGGGAAAGATTTGAATAAAAATGCAACTAAATTATTTTTAGGACAAGTTCAAAATGCATACTTTACTAGTAATAAAAAAATGCCAAAACGATGTCACTCTATAATGGAAAAAAGCAAGCCAAAGCATGCAGTAACAAATAAGTATTTTGTTTTGTCAGAAACTTCATTCCTCTCCAACAAATAACTGCCTTTCTCAACATGTCATGTGCTTGAAATGCAGTGAATGCATTGTACCTATTTTTCTTCAGTAAATAAGAAACTGAATACAGTGCACTAAAAAAATCTTGTCCCCTGATTTTAAGCTGCAGTCTTTAGGCATTCCAATAGTTCTGCACATTAACAAAGTATGGGAAGATAAATCCACTTCTATCCTATTGCAGAGCTGCACTGGTTTTACAGCCAAGCCAGGAAAAAAAGAACCCAACTTTGCTAGAAAGGTTCTAATTAGAAAGATGCAAAACAAACAAAACTTTAAAACAAACCCAAGAAAGGCAATCTTATATCAGATATGCTCCTGAAATCTGGAAAGAGCATTAAAAAAAGCCAAGCATAATAAAAAGTTATTTGGGTTCTTGTCCTGTCTTCACCAGGGGACATGTGCTTTGACTTGATCTTTAGCAACTAAAGCTTTCTGGGGGAATCTTTTCCCTAAGTAAATCAATCCCTGTTACACTGGAACCATCACTTTCAGCCTGTATTATGAGCCCTGATCACTGACAAAACATGTCTCCAAGACTTTCACGTCTCCTTATCCCCCCTACTTCACAGGACCTTGATATTAGTTGCCATACTTCATACCTTCATACTGGTTGATGGCCTTCTCAGAGAAACAAACCAGTATGAAGCCTCAAGACAGTGCACCCAACAGAAGAGAACTCTGTCCTACAGGAGAACCTAGGTCTACTCTTATATAGACAGAAAGGGCTCTAGGCACACACAGATGTAACTTTCAGGACATGTTCACAGTATGTGTTTGACATGCCATGGGATGTACTTTACTGCAAAAATCAATCTCCTCACATGTTCCACTGTCATCATGTTAACAGAACAATATAAAATGGAAATACTCAAGGCCCAGGTAGTGCACAACCCAGAAAAGCAGATCTAGCTATAAAAAACAGTATTCATATCACCAAATAGAATGAATAGTGCAAACAGCAGTATAAACAGAGCTGAAATATGCAACTTTTACTGCTATGATCTGTCCAAAAAACTACAGGTTGCAATAACACACAGCATTCCTTTAGCAAGTACTGTTAAATTACATGAGCATTATAAAAACCTTTGTATACATATATTTGGCAAGATCTATCAGCATTAGTGTGCTGGTTTTGGCTGGCATAGAGTTAATTTTCTTCACAGTAGCTGCTCTGGGGCATGGGGCTGTGTTTTTGATTTGTGCTGCAAACAGTGTTGATAATTCAGGGATGTTTTAGCCATTGCTGAGCACAGCTTACACAGGGTCAAGGTCTTTTGTGCTTCTCACCCCAACCCTCCACAGGGGGCTAGGGGTGCATAAGGAGTTGGGAGGAGACACAGCCAGGACAGCTGACCCCAACTGAGCAAAGGTATATTCCATAACATGTGGTGTCATGCTTAGTAATAAAAGCTGGGGCAAGAAGGAAGAACAGGGGGATGTATGGAGCGATAAAGTTTGTCTTCACAAGTCACTGTTACACATGATGGAGTCCTGCTGTCCTGGGGATGACTGAACACCTGCCTGCCCTCTGACTTTGCCATCACACCAAGGAGGAGGAAGCAAGCAGCTGTGTGGGGCTTAGCTGAACCTGGGATTAAACCACAACAACTAGGAAAATAAATTACCATCACAGTACTCAAAGCTTCATGCTGTTACATGACTATTCTTTGTGACTTTCTTAGAAGGTAAGTACTAACCTGTGTTTTTCCAAGCAGCCTGTAAGCTTGCTGAACCTTTGTATAATGATTGATATCAAAATTCTTGCATATTTTGGAAAGCGCTACGTCCAATTGTTCCTATAAAAATTGAAGAAAAAAAAGCATTAAGCAATAAAAAAAAACAGGTCAAGTAATACATTACTTAAACAACAACAAGTGAGGAAGATGTTTATTTAAACAGTGTGATAATTATGGTTGTAAAGTAACTAAGACTGTGTGTGACTGGACTTTTCTGAGGTGCTTAAGTGTCAGTTCTGACAGTGTAAGTACTTCAGTGTCAGCCAAAGAGTTCACCACTCCCAAGAACAAGCAAGAACTCTGCAGTCAAATTCAAAGTGATGTTTACTTTGAGAAGGCCAGGAACATCAATATGGGAGAGCTGGGATTTCTAAGATGGTCTACTTCCACCCCTAAGAAAAAACAGATCTGGGGGTTTCAGCTCAATCAATTCCATTACAGACTTCTTAACCCTCTGACTGCATCTCTTAAATGGAAGTAACACTGCCTGAATTTAAAGTTCCTTGGCAAGACAGCCATTTATAGAATACTATATCAGCACAACAATCAGTACCTGAGAGAATCAAAAAGAAAGGAGACACACAAATACAGGTTCTGCCAGCAGAGCTGTGTCTGAGCATACTGAACAGCTCTGCAGAAAATTCACCTACTATGTGAACTAAGTGAAAAAAAAACTTCAATAGGATCATGTATTTTATGACTAATAAAGCTTTCAAGAATTTGACTACATAGCTTAATAACATAATTCTCATGTAGACTCTGCAATATATTCAGATACACAACCTAATCCTAGTTTTTTTCAACCAACAATAAAAACAGAATGAGTCAATAACATAACATACACAGTTAACAAATATTTTCTTTCCTTGCTAAATATTAAAACCATTTCAATTCTTATTATTTAATGATCTTGCAATACAGTCTTTCTCTTAAAAATAGAAATCACAGTAGATGGGTGTTCAGCCCGTTATGTACTTTTATTTAATCCATTGAAAAATTTTCATTAATTACATCATTAGCCACAAAATATTTTTGGTGCTAATCCTAGAGATTTGGTGGAGGTTGTTCATTGTACTTTCTTCCCTAAGCTAAATGGTAAAAGGACAAGTAACCTAAAGACTCAGAACTTCTCTAAAACATTACTCAGCAATTTGAATTTCAGACATATACAGATTTTTTTTAAAAATTCTCTCTCTTGTTTCTTGCAGAACACCTGTACAAAGAAAAAAACAGGGATATCAAACTGCCCATGAACACAGCTATTAAACAGAGAACATTAGTCTTTTCTGTTACATTTTTCAATAGTTCCTTCCACTAAAGCCATCTTGCATTTGTAAAAACCATCATTGTATGTAACTTAGTATAAAAGTAAGATCTATATGTAAACCTAAATTTAAAAAAATATTAAAAAAAGGAAAAAGGAATGCACTTAATTAAAGGCACTCAACTATTGAAAAGACTCATTATGGAATTCCTAACTAGCAGAATATTATTCTATATTAATTAGACCATGTATTTTTCAGCAATACTCCATGGACCCTAGGATGACTTCATGTTTCATGACCCCATGATGTTTCTTCCATGTGCACAGGCATAACTCCAGTAAAAAATAAGATAGTTTCACAGGAAGAAAGTAAGATATTTTTATAAATTCACAAGTAATAAATAAAAATCTTGAACATGATTATTTAGTTAGCTGTGAATTGCTTTCACCAACCAATATGGCACATTTTATCATATTTTGATAAGATCAGAATTTGCTCTTCAAAGCTGTTACTGGAAGGAAGTAAAAATGCATGTCTCCTTTTAAGCAACATCAGTATTTGCTCACAAGGGAAAAATGAGTGCTCACTCTCACACAGCCTGTGTTAGAGTGGTAAGAAAACAGACATTCCACCAGCTTTTGTGAACCAGATATGGTCTGAATAAAGCACTATCAGAGAAAGACTAAAGGAACAAAAAAAAGCTTTGCGCATAAAAGCTGAAGTACAAAGACATAACTGAAGGAAATTGACAAAATTTTAATTTTACAGTGAATTAAATAACAAGATATGATGAAACATGTGCTAGTCTGACTTTCTGAAGAGCATGTGAAAACAGGTGTAGACAGCTGCTCAAATAGCTGATTCAGGTTCCTGCTAAACATTACATATGTATGCATTACATGCATCACATACACATTATACATACCTACATTGCTAGACTTCCTACAAAAAGCTTGCTAAGTTCCAGCTCAAAATTACCTAGTAGTGGACTTTAAAGCATTCCCTCTTTTTACCCCACCAGTTTCCAGGAAGACACTTAACATTTTATATTCCTTTGCTTTTGTGATGCTATCTACCAATTTAAACCAACCTTAGTCTCATCCTTCACAGCTATTCAAGTCTTATTTCCTGCAGCTTAGCACAGCCCTATCCAGCAGTTTCCAGTTTGCTAACCTCTAAAATTCCCTGTGAAACTGTGATCTCTTGTACAGCTTATCCAAACCTACTGGCCTGCTATTAATTTACTTTTCACAACTGTTTAGAAGCTCAATACTTCAAATGTTATGTACTTCTTTAATTTGACTGCTCTACCACTTACAGTGAGCACAACTAGTGGACTGGGTGATAACATATTGTAGAGCATTTGGATTGATTACAGCACTAAAGTCTACATGAACAGCAACGGCTACAGCATCCAAAGAGGGTATTTGAAAGAAATGCATACATTCTATAATTGCTAACAACATTTAACTAGAAAGCTCTAGTAGTAGCACATACTTAGAGGTCAAATATTAGCATATACTGAACATCAGTATAATAATTCTTACCTCTATTTGTTCCAAGGTGTCTTGCAGTTTTGAATTTAACTCACTATTGATGAATGAAAAGAAATTTATAATAAAATTACTGATTATATAAACAAATTCAGACCATTTCTTACTTCCAAAAGCCCTACTGCTGAGTCACAACATAGCAATTCATCAAATTGCTGTTGCTGTGTCAGACTAGCACCATCACACCACTGCTATGTTGAAAGGCAGATTATTCTAGGTTGATAATGCAACAATGTTAAGAGGGTCTAGACAAGACTCCATCCTGCTAAGATTTAACCAAAAATTCCAAGACATTCCCAACCTCCAAGAAACTTGTTTTAAGTATTTTGGTTTGGCACTGTGGTCTACACCAGAGCATACCCTGAAGGGTCAGGGCTGTCAAGTCTTTCCAAACTACAGTAATTTTTATTTGTTACTCAGGAGCCCCTTACAGAAATGCTATCAGAAAAAGAAAATTTAAGCTTCTTCAGAAAAAAAAAGTAAAATTTGGTATAAAAAAATTAACAAAAACAGCTACCATAAGAGAAACTATTTAGGACAAAGAAAGACACCACTACACATTTGCAACAACCAGCTTTAAAAATCTCAGAACAGCAGCAATAAAAAAAAAAAAGAAAAAAAAACTGCTATGTTTTTGTTTGGAAGGGTCAAAGCAACAAAGAAATAGGCAGGATACTCTCTTCTTGCACAGAAATCACAGTTTTCATTAAATAATCACCATATTTCATTTTAGACAACTTCCCTCTGTGCTGTGAATCTTCTCCTTAGGGGCCTACATTAATTATCAAAAGACACATTCTAGCATCTCTGCTTAGTTCTCTACATTTAAATGATACACCCATCACCCTCCTTTTTTGTTTCCATTGGATAAATTGGGTACAACACCTTGCAAAAAAAGTTTAAATAGAAAAAAATGGCATCAAAAAAAAAATGCCATTAAACACTAAAGAGAGTAGCCAGCATTTCTTTATTCTTTCTCCACATGCAAACAGAAGGACCTCCATAATAATCTGATGTTACTGCATCTCCTGCTGGAATTTATAAGCATTTCCTGCCATTTCTTTTCTTTCTTTTTTTTTTTTTAAGCAATGGAAACATTAAGTCTTTCTACATTAGAAACTGCAGATATTTGTATTAGTTTTGGTTCTGAAAGCAATTTCTTCATGTCAGTATGAAACTCTGCACTTGCTAATTTCATTAACAAGGATCAGGGTAAGTTATCCTGCAGAAGCCATCTTGCTATAGGCAAATTAATTCCAGAATAGAAACTTCTCATTAAAAACTCAGCTCAGGTATCTCTAGGCGGGAGGTTGTAGCACAGTTATAATTCACTTTAAAGTGAAACTTTACCTGCCAACATATTACAACAGTTACAAAATAATTATATGGTCTAAACATTCATTATGCGCTGTTATTACTGAAGACTGCTTAGTTGTGGTAGAGGGAGGTGGGAAACTACAGAGGATACTTAAGCTTTTATAACTGCCTCAATTTTACTTTTCTAAGCTGAAAATTGCTCTTCAATTAAACTTCCTTTAGAGAATGAGAATCAATGATCACAAATAAAATCATATAAAAGTTGACATCTGCACAATGTCACCCTACCTTATACAACTGTAGTGTTTGAAAGTGCTGGCAGCTTTCTGGCATTCCAAGCATAGTTGAATAGCTCCTGGATAATCCTCCTCCTTAAGATAAAATACAATTGAAAGCTCATCTGAAGTAACAGTGCAATACCCATTTTTCTTGCATGCTTATGTATAAACATTAGGAATAAATATTTTGCCTCTCCTGTCTCCCCAGTAAAAGAGTTAGAGTTAACTAAGTAAAGGGTCAGTAAAAGTAAAAGAGTTAGGATTAACTTCTAAAGTTAAAGAGTGAGGGTCTACTGCAGCAGGTAATTTAGAATTAGCAATATCTGAAAACACTAGGTACTACATTACCTTATGCAAACAACTTGCTGTATTGTTTCCTTATCCATATATATAAAACACATCACAAAGCTTTTATTACAGAACAACTAACATCTTCCCAGTAATCTATTCATGAGCATGGAAAGAGGTTAATTCAGGCACTGTCAGGCTATTCCCATTGTTTATAAAACATAAAAGGAGACAAGGAAAACACTCCCAACATTATGCCCAAATAAACACTATTTAAATTGACACATCCAGCTCATTAGAAATTAGCTTCAACACAACTGACTCACAGAAGGCCTCAGGAAACAAAGAACACACTATGAATGCATTGTCCTAATATATAAGAAGAATATCCAATAAGTGGACAGCTCAATCAGGAAGTATTATGAGGATGTCAGAACAAAACAAAAACATACACACAAAAATGTAAAACCCAAGGATCCTACCAACAAGACGTGGGCATTGCCTCAAATATACCTATTGTTCTGGTATTCTATTAGACATGAGACCAGAAGGAATCTTGGAAGAAGAGAAACCCTCTTTAATAGCTAAGAGCTTCTGGTTTTTGTCATAATTACATCTGTTACATTACATGCTTTAGAGAGCTCAAATGCAAAGCTGTTACTGGAATTTCAGTCATTGACTGAAGAGCAAAAACGCAAGGCTAATTTACATTCAGCTATTATCATAGAGGAGATTCTGAAATGAAATTGGTTTTAACAGCAATGTTCTAATGCAGATCAAATTTAGCTAAAAAACACAAAAAAAACCCAAATACATAATCCATTAGATGAAAACAGAACAGCACACTGGTCTAAAGAGCATTATTAGCACTTTATATCTCTCTCCACTGGAAACCTGGTACTTGTTCCAGTAAGTCTAACAGAGCTCAAATCAGAAAGCGTGCTTGCATAAGATATATTACTAATATATTCCAGATGCAGCTCAGCCCTGTAAGCTACCATAAATTCATTCCAGGCTTTTTTTTAATTGGGAACCCTTTCAAAATTCTCTTCTCTGAGTGGCTACTAATAGCTCTCATGCATATTCCAACCTACTAACTTCTAGGAGTACAGAAAATAAATGGGCCACTAGCTGGGATAACTTATTGGGAGTAGACACTGAGCACAGCTCTACAACTGCAGTCTGCCAAAACACCAATTCCAGCCCTTTAAAATCACTGACCAATTATGGTAATCAGACATTAGGGTCTGTGTGTGAATGCAACAGCAACTACATCTCCTCAGGACAATTCCTGCAAGTGGACAGTGAAGAGTTAATTTCCTGGGTAGCAAAACACAGCACAGAAATTAAAAGCTAATCATTGTACAGGGCTTACTGAGCAGAAAGACTTTATGCCACCTGAAAACGAGTGCAGTTTTGCTTGGTAAAGAGTAAGAAAGTTTGCTGACACAAGGTGACTTACTCAAGATAGAATTAAGTTCACAGAATCTTGAAAGCTGAAACTATTAAGATTCAATTTCCAAATTTAATAACTGGGAATTGTCATCATGATATTCTATCCAGTATTAGCTGTAAATATTTGGCAGACTTGCAAGTCGAAATTGTTACACTACAAGTACTATAGCTGTCAATTAAATGCTGAGGCTTTCTTTCATACAATTCATCACCTTAAGACAAGATCCTATTTTGCTCTGTGCAGTATCTACTGCATTTTTAGCCAGTATACATAACAGCATCTGAATTTTCAGTGTCATGGCCTGCCTGTTGCAATCTTTTCTACAACTGAATTAAAAAGCCAACCCAATGAATAAGGACAGAAGGCTACTACATTTACAAATGAAATACTAAGCTGGGAGCCCATCTATAAATTTGTATACTAATATATCAATAGAAATTCTTTATCCAGACACAGCTTATCAACAATCAGCTAAATCTCTTTTTTTTTTCCTCAAATATCAAACTAAAGAAAAGAGGTATAAGTTGAGAGCAGGGATAAGTGAAGACCCCACAACATTTTTACTGAACTAACTCAAGCTTCAGTGCCTAGATGTAAAGGCAGGAATGAGTTTTTGATAGAAAATACTCTCCCCTGGCAGCAGGGCTATCTAATTCCATATGAAGCTTTTCTCAATTTAAAAGAAGTATAAAAATACAATTTCATCCCATGCAAGACAAAAATTAGTATGACTGACAAATGTAGGCTTAGAATAGCTTCAAATTATACCAGTCTGGTAGGGACTTACTTCCAACATCTCACTCAAACGCACATCAGTTCTTTGCTAAAAAAAAAAAAGCAAAAATCCAGTCATTACTACACAGAAATTAAGAAACATATTTGTCACTGAACAAAAACAACGGTACATACCAGTGTTTTTATTGTTCTCAGAGATTTTAGCAGTCCAATAAGCAACTGTCGTTTCCTCTGATTTGCAAGGAGCCCCAAACTAGTTTGTGTGAACCCTTCCTTTGCTATATTCAGGTGTCTGCAAGGTAAAAATTAACATAATCTTCAACAATTCATAAAACAAAACTTCCTTCTTATCAATTCTAACAAGTCCAAATACATGGTAGAAAATAAGATTATCAGCATTGTTAGGGGAACTCAGAAAATGAGATTATACCAAGAGACAGCTAAGAAGGTACATCCTTCCTTCTGCACTTGTCTGCGGATCAGTGGTATTCTCCAAAGCTTTCTGTTTCAAAGAGAACTACCAATTGCAAAAGTGAGGGCTGCAAGAGTTTGAAACTGTTTCAGTATCTCTAACTACTACTGCTAATAGCATTGAGCACATGAACAGGAAATATCATCAGCAAGCAAACTTCCTGGGTTTACAGATTTCCTGTTAAATACTTCCCCACTTTCAATCACTGCAGTTCCTTAAGCAAATACCTTCTTCCATTTGTGCAAATAACCGCTGCCATCTGAAGGCCACTCTGCAATGATGTAACACGTTCAAGCTCCTACAGAGAGACAACAGGTTAAACAAATATACAATTTCAACAAATATGCAAGTTACACACCAGTGAAGACTACTGATTAATACATTTCTCTTGAGATGTTATAATGACTTTGTGGAGTTACTTCATATTTTATTTCTTTCATCATTTTATGTATACTAAGTACTGCAATGTAACATTAACATAAACTGTATTTTGAAATACAATTCTCTTTTGAAGATAAGATAGTTGAAATCTGTTTTCACTGCAGTGGGACTCTCTACATTTATATATTGCACATTTAGCCTAAGAATTTCTATACCATTAATGCATTACAACAGAATGATCAAAGCTTCAGGGATAGAAGCACAGGGCTTAATTTGCATTAATATGCCAGAGAGCAGCAAAACAAAAAACACAAATTATGTTTCACACACAGCATTTTCTTGTTTAGAAGCACTTGTGTTCTACCAATTTAATAGATGTCACATCATAATGAATGTTAATTGTATCCTGTTGACTTTCAGCTGAAAACTCTTCAGCAGAGGTGACCTGAATTTAGCTTGATTTTGACTTAATGAAGTGCCTAGCATAATCTCAACTCCTTGAAAAAAAAATAAATGTTTTAATATAACTATTAGGATTTCTTTTGTTAGAACAGCTCTGAAGAAAAGTGCATTTTCTCCTCAGGCTACAGAAAAAGAGTTTTGTTTGTTTGTTTGAGGGTTTTTTTGGGTTTTTGGTTTTTTGGTGGGTTTTTTTTGGCAGGGGAGGTTTATTTTATTTTTTAATTCTGCTCATCATTTCAAAATGTATCAAGTGCCTTCCATGAGAAGGGAGATTTTTTACTTTGAAAACTCATCTAACTCTAATAATATGACAAGCAAAAATGAGTTCAAAGTTCAGTTCAGTTTTAGATCAGCTCCTGGTCAGTCTCCAAATCACTAAGCTGCATCTTCCACCACAACCTGCTCCTTTATGTTACCAGTGTTGCTTTTTTATAAATGACAGCCTAGTTGCTGATATGCAAAAAAGAAACCAAACTTTAAGATTACTTTCCTCAATACCTACCTCTACTTCTCTCTAAAAACATACTTTGCAAATACCAGAGCTATTCAAAAAGCCATTCTTCCCTTGTTCAAGGGGAAACACATACAATGAGGAGCTACTCCACTCCAGTCCTGCTTCTTGAAAAGACTCTGTAAAATCTCTCCTTTGAACACAACTGGATGGAGAGGAATGGGGAGAGAGTGCAGCCTAAATATTTCCAAAGAGGGAGTCTTCTGCCCACCATTGAGGGCTGAATACAATTTTTCTCTTCTCAGAAACAGTCTTTCACCCACTGGCTGCTCCTAAAGCACGTCTTTCTTCCAAGAACAAAAAACTGTAAATCCCTTACCCTGTGTCAGTGGCATGTCTCTCTCTTGTGGCCACAGGAGTGCCTGTCAGACCAGTACTTGACACTAGGCATGGGCTTAAAACCATGATATCCCTAAACTACACTTTGCACATTGAAAATGTGTCCAGGACATGTGTTCAACTGCATGCTTGGTTCTTGTAATGAATTGTTACTGTAGTTTAGCACTGAACTGGAGCTGCCATTACAAGTTCACACAGCACAACAGGAGGTTCATTTCATGTATCAGTGGGAAAGTGAGACCTCTAATGCTCACCAGAAATCTCCAATAAATCTACTGACAAGAATAACTCTCTGCAGGCCTGTACCCATAAGTAACACTGAAGGATTATTGACTTAATCAGGCACAAAAGCATTTAATGAAAGTTTCTAAAAGATTTTTACTGGCACAATAGATTTTTAACTGTCCTTTGGGAATATCTGAAAGCACTTCTAGGTATGAAACAGGTTCACCTCACTAAGATATCTGCAAAAGGAACATTAGCATTACACAGCAAAATGCAAGAACATTTGCTGCAGTTCCATTATGCAGTGAGAGGTTTTCAAAGTGAAGCTGCTGGATTCAGGAAAAGCAGCACTCACTCAAAACTATCAATTTCAAATTCACATAACAGTGAAATAATACCAGAATATTTTTATACCATACAATTACCCTTTCTCCCCCTTCTACACTATCTTGTGAAGACTCAACCAGTAGCACTTACCATCCTCCTTCTGCAGTAGCCTCCCACCTTATCACCCCTTCAACTAAAAGTGAAACAACTTTACTGTTACAGCCTTTTTCTTCCACCTGCTATTGCAGAAGATGATGCAAGCAATGGTCACTTCTCTCCCCCCCGCATTGTTCTTAAAACAGCAGCACTCCTTTCCCCAGGCAAGGATGGCAAAACACAGATGGCAACTTCACTTAGGCTGGATGCACTGGCCATAAGAACAAGAGAACAAAAAGGAGTTGTGTCCTCTGGATAAGAGGAAAATTATTGCAGCTCCATGATATCTACCACAGGTTAATAGCCATGAAGCCATCTTTCCTCTTCCACATTCTCTCCAGCTTCTTGCCCAAAGAATTGCCATAATCATCAGTACAATCATGGTGATGTAAGGTGCTGTACACAAACAGAAGTATTCACCACAGGATCATTCTCAGGCTAACTTAATAAAAATCACCATTTTCACTTAGCAGAATTCTTCGGACATTACTCCCAGGCACTTGGCGAGACTTTTGGGGATGATTCTCTGCAGGGACAGGAGTTGAACTTGATGATCCTAGTGGGTCCCTTCCAACACAACATATTCTGTGACTCTGATTCTCACAACTGCCTGAGATTAGTGGCAGTTAGGTGATCTTAATAAAGATCACTACTGCTTTCTCTTATGGAATAAGATGTGACACCACTACTAAACAAAGGTAATAAAGCAGCTCCTGCTCCAAGTTCATTACAGGTATAGCCAAGCCTGTGAATTCCTGAATTCTTCACAAGGCTTTGTAAAATGACCATATTACAAAACCTTTATCATCTTAAGGACTTTCAAGTCAATACACCGTTGGCTTTCACTATAGAGACAGAGCTTTAGCATACAAAAATAGCTGGTTACCAACCAGGCACTAGCACCCCTACTACAAATCACTAGAACGACACAACTGCAGCATTATAGCAGCACAAAATTGAGCAGTTTGTTCTTGAAAACTGTTAGTTGTCTTACCTCAACATATGCAGGCTGTTTTTCAAGGATTAAATCTGCAACTTTCTTAGATACCTTAAAAAGAATAACACTCCATGTGATACATAGCAATCTCAATTAAGTAGGCCATGCCCGTACTAAAATTCTACAAGCTTATGATTCTCTACCATTAAGTTCTGCATTTTTCAAATTTATTAATAAATATTCCACAACAACATATAAAAAAATTGTTAAAATTATGATCAGCTTTCCTTAGAACCAAGATAAGAGAAACATGCACAAGTCCATCTAGCAATTAGTGGGCGTTTTTAGACTACTCACTTAACTCTCTGCTTGTTAAGCAACGTGCCAGAAAAGCAAATAGAAATAATTTGGGGAACTGCAAGTATTTACATTTTGCTCATGCTATTGCTAGAGTACAAATTTAAGTCAATGATATAGCATGGTGTGTTGGCTGGGGCTGGGGTATTCAATTTTCTTCAAAGTACTTGGGCTGAAACCAGTTTTGGTAACACAGAGGTGTTTCAGTCGAGCAGTGCCTGTAGAGAATCAAGGCTTTTTCTACTCCTCGAACCACCTCACCAGCAACTGGGCTGGGGGTGCACAAACCTTTGAGAGGGGACAAAGCTGAGGCAGCTGACCCCAACTGAACCATGGGATATCCTAAATGTACAGTGTCATGATCAGCATATACACTTTGGGGAAAAGAAGGAAAGGAAGGATGCTCAGAGTGATGGCATTTGTCTTCACAAATAAATGCCACACATGATAGAGCCCTCCTCTCCTGGAGAAGGCTGAACAGCTGCCTGCCCATGAAAAGCAGTGAATTAATTCCCTGTTTTGCTTCACTTGCTTTTGTTTTACCTATTTTTTAGCTATTTCTTCTGCATTATCTACTTTTATCTCAACCCCTGAGCTTTTTCACTTTTACTCCTCCCATTCTCCCCCCTGAAGAAGTGAGTGAGAGGCTGTGTGGTACTTTATTGCCATCTAGAGTTAAACTACAACATGTTTAACATAAGGACACCTACCTTTGAGACTGATACCGCATTAAAGCAAAACTATATCAAAATGAATATGCATCCTCTATATATTATACCCTTTCTTTACAACACAGAATATGTATATTTTAAAATTTCCTCCACTGGTCTGAGTATAATTCTAAATAAAATGCTCCTGAAAGCTGCTGTCTGTATTGAATTTAAAAACTGGGCATTGCTACCTTAATCAATCTCTTGTCCACAAACATAGAAGCTTGAAAAGAAATCCAACAGTGACAGTCTTATAAATGCCAGCTTGAGAATAGTGTATTTAGTTTTGTTTTTCATCAGGGACTAAAAATATTTAAGAAATGTTTTCAAACATGACAAAGAAATTATTGGTATTGCTCTATATTCTTTTGGGGGAATAATCCTCCCAGAAATGGAATAAAATAAAGCTGGCGATGACAGTCAGCACACAATGCACTACTGGCAAAGAGAAATAAAGATTTTTGTAAACTTGACTGCTTGACTGCAATGTTTGCCTAAACATAGCACAGATTTGAGCCCTTCAATCAGCATTCCTGTAGCAATCTTATATTGGCTCCATCAGCTCAATTCCCATCCTCTGGAAGAGCACTTGCACCTAAATGGTCTTTGAAGTATTCCAATGTCATCAGGGGGCAATGGACAAGGGGCATATACCCAGCTATGCTTTCCTCCTTCCATATCAAAAGCAGGCCAGAACCACAGAGCAATTTTAAAACTGTTCAGTTGTACTTAACCTTTTAGTTGTTCCATAACTAATAACTCTTTCCTCTGCAGGACAGCAGAAGAACCAGCCCAGAGTGAGATGGGGTCAGGATAGGATAATGTCAAGCTGAATGCTACACAAGTGTACATGACACCCTGGGGCTCTTAAGAAATTTTGTTCACTCCACAGTCTATGCACTGTGAAATTTTCACCTTCTTTTTTCAACATATTCTTCATACTAGTCATGTACCTGTAAAAAACTTTAGAACATGGATATACCTGCTAGTTATTCAATGCTCTAGTACTGTTAAGCAATGTTCAAGCAGTACACATGAATAAAAGGTATATTTCTTTTCAGTTTTTACACTTTTTGTTTTGCAAGTCCTCAGTTACCCTTCACTAATAATGAGCTCAACATTGACAAACATGTTCTCAAAGGCACAGGCACTTTCTTTTCTTTCCCAGTACCTAATGGTACTAATTTTCTTTCTGAGGTTCCAAGCTCTCAAATACTTTTTCAGATGAGCAATACTATCCCCAGTTACTTCATTTATTTCCAAACTGTCACACCCTTTTTGGCATCTTCCATACAATTGTGCTGTGCTAAGTCTTGGAATCCTGAACTGCAGCTGCTAGCACTGAATGTGACCATGGTCATCAAAGCCTGCCAACGATGTTTCCTGAAGGGACAAACAATTTTCTCTTTCTTAATCACATCAGTAAAAAATATTTCATCTCCTGAGGAAAAAACAACATAGCTAAGGATATTAGACTACTAATGAAAATGAAGTCTAGCAGACATACAACTAAAAAGCTCTTCTAATTCAAATTGTAACAAGATAATTACAAATTAAAGTTATTATGATACACACATTAAAAATGTTTGAGCAAGTTGGGATCCTTCCAGTGGAATGGAAAACTATTGAGAAAACTACAGAAGTCTATAGTGACCTAAAAACAACAGAATGACCAAGATCAGCTGTACAAAAGCAGTAAGTCAGTGAAGATCAGAGCTCTAGTACCTGTAATTCACACTCATATAAGTGCTTTGCATTAGAGAAATTCCGAATTTGGTATTATCTCCAAACTATTATTGTAAATTTCTCTGCCAGCTGTAGGTACAGACATTAAAGTGAAAAAGGCAGTATTTAGTTTTTTGCAAAAGCAGTGCCATTGTGTAATATGTCAACAGGCTTCTAGAATCCTCTATCTAATAATCTATTCACCATTAAAATATTTTTAGGACTGAACTAACAACATACAACATTCTACAGTTTTGTCTTCCATGAAAGACACTAACGTCCTTTAAGGCAGGTAGGTCTAAATGACCTATCACAAGATAAATGGATAACAACTGAGACACAAGAAGCAAACATGCAACAGTCTCTCACACTCTACCAGAAAATATGACATAAGGACATGAAACACAATATATAAGACATTTTAGCACTTTGGCACATGCTTAAGGAGGAAATTCCTTCCTATACCAGAAAAACATTTTGACGAAATTAAGAAAGAAACAAGGAAGGACCAATCCTGACTGGGGGAAGTTGGTGAGGGAAGAACTGGGCACATGTTCCTTGTCCAAGGTTTTGGCTTTGAGATTTTTTACCTGTTTATATTCTAAAAGCCACATCTGGCCATATTTACTGGAAGCCTTGTGCTCAGTTCTCTCCCCTATTATTCATTAGCTGTATGCACTTTCCCGTTCAAATGTTTTGGCAGCAGCCATGCCCTGAAACTACTCAGCTGCAGCCAGTTCCCATCCTGCAAGCAAGAAATGGCCAAGTCATTGATAACACATATCAGGATTATGCAGCATATCTCACTGAAGTTGTCTCAGTCTTGAGAGCACTTCCTCGCAAAACAAGGTCACCATCAGATGTCCTCTTAAAATTAAAAAAAAACACCACCACCACACAAACAAACACACCAAAAAAATTACTACCTCTCATTCACTTCCAACTTCTTTCCTTATAAATCTTGGTAAGAAATATGGAATATTCATTTCCTCAGCTTCTCAGTAATCTTTCACAAAACTTCATAGGTATATTATGGGCAAAGCAGCTTAAGGCTTCTGCCTTTGCTGAAGGCTTATGTATTGTTAACAAAGAAAGATTCTCCTATACATTTCATTTATTTGAACACATGAATTAGGATTACTACTTCTGTTTTACTTGCAGATATTCTCCAAATGCCACAGTTAATAGATTTGTTTCCTCTACCATGTTATGCACCTCAAAAGAGTAATGGAACAACCATTAATGGATTAATAGAAAATTTTAAAGTCTGCAACGTAACAAGCACCTTTCAAGGTGCCTTACAAGCAACATAACAAGCTGCAACTCCAATTTTGCCTCATACCTCATACTTACTACTCATTAAATTTCATTTGGTTTATTACATAATAACTCTGTATCAGTGTTCACTAAATACCCTTGGGAAGAATTAATATATTGGCAAATGAAAAGTAAGACAAAATAGCATCTTCAAGGAGAGAGTTTTTAAAACATTTTAAGTCTTACATTGCCAGAAATCCCACTAAGAGGTACTACTCCACTATTCAGCACTGTGTTGAACATTACAAGATAAACATTCAAAAAGTCAAGTTTCTAAAGAAATAGTTAGCACATTTGCTCTTTGTTACAATACTTAACACTAAGATTTACTTTCATGATTTCATACGATTGTATGATTCAGTGATAATTTTCCACTATAAAGGCACACAACATGATGTGAAAAAAATACTTAGAATTGAATGTGTTAAGAAATCAAATTTTTTTTTCAGTTACACTTCTTGCTAAACTTATAGAAAAGACAACAAATTGTGTAAGGGTAGAGAGGAAAAAACTTTACTTACAGCAGCTTGCTGTTGTTTTAGTTTGTCTCTGTACTCTTCCAGTTCTTGAAGACTAAGTACTGGAGGAAGCCTCTGCATTTAAACAATAAATTAAAATCAGTAAGAAATTAAAGGTTGTTAACTCACACACAGCATTAGCTAGGCAATCAGTTTAATTAAAGAAACATTCTTTTGGCTTCTGTAATCTAATTTGCAGAATTAATCCATTTTTTCAAATGATAGATACTGAAATCAATTAGTGTTAAAATATATAACATAGGATCATAATTCCCTCATGTATTATTATAATTACCTCAAAGTTACTTCATTTTACATCATATATGTATACACCCAACCACCCAATCACAGAAAATGTCTCTCTCAGTTTGCTAAAAAAATACACAAAATATAGAACAGATTTGTTTCCTCAACTATCTTGACTTTTTCACTTCAGTTTAAATTACAAAATGCCTGTAAGCATATTCTACTACATTAAAAGAAGAGACTATATACTATATATATATGCACCAATACTCTATGCTAGAAGCTGCACACAACTGCAAGATAACTTAGGGGTGTTCAGTGCTGTATTCATACAAGATCTAAGAAACAAAAAAAAGCTCATTGAAACAAGCATACTTTTGGTCTTCATTTTTTGTTATGTTACTATTTTTTCTTTCAAGATGACAGCTTACCTCTAACTCATACTTCACAATATCAAAGGAGTCATTGGAAAAATAAACTTCTTCAATGCTGTTAATGATTTCCTGTTGTGCCTGAGGATCAGGTGGTTCTTCATGTAGTTCTCTGAGCTCCTCCTGCACGAAACAAAACAGAATTTCCATCATGTAATAACACATCCTAGGAAGAACGACCTTTTAACAAAACTAACATCTTCCAAGAGCAACTTCCAACATTAACACAAGAAGCAATAGCAAAATACAGAAAGTACAGTACACTGTGGCTTGTATTTCCCATTAGGGAGAGCAAGACATTTAAAACTTCTCAAAAAAACAGTGTAGACTTCAACGTTGCAGTCACTTAGACACTTCTTCATTAATTTATGGCACCAACTGCATGTTGAGTCCAGTTTTTTCCTCCTCACCTTTAGAAATTCTCATAAAAGCAAAAATAAACTGGCAAACTATTTCTCCAGAAGGAGAAAAAAAAAATTGCACAAACCCAAAACAACTAAAACCTGAATTTTTTAAAACAGATGAACCGTCTTTGTAAATGACACGTAGACAGTGTCATTACAAATGCATAACTTTTCAGTTCAGCCCACACATTCACTGAAATAAAAGATATGCCATTAAACACTTGATTTCTACAGAGAAAACCAGAACAGATCTGCCTTCTTTGCACAAGATTAACAGGTCTCAGATTTTAGCACAGAGGTCTAAGCAGAGATGTGCTGTCAGCCTTCTGAAAGCTAATATTCTAGAGATAAGCATCCCCTTCCTTGCTGTCACAATCTCCTCTGGAAGACCTCCCCAACAACCCAGATGCTTCCAGTGGCTGAAGCAAACCAAGGACTCAGCCTGACCCTCCTCTTCCTCTGCTGCACTGGACATTGCAGCTAACGCTGGCCCTCTCCTGGATGTCGTTCACACAAAAAGAATGAAAAATCCTTTATCAGAGACTCAAAAGGGAGAAGTGCTAGAATATTCTTTCATAAAAAGTAAAGATAAAATGGATCAAATTGCTTGATAATGAAATTAAACTCTGGTGAAGCAATGCAACAGACTGAAGAGTCCCATAATGACCCTGAGCCTCCCAGCAATGCTGAGTTGTTCCAGTGAGGCAAGGTGCTGGTATTTTCATCACAAAGAGCTCAAAGGTTTCTTTCACCAGTGTGGTATCCAATTTTAGATTAATGACTGAACAGCCACTCATTTGCTTATTTTGCACGCCAGCTGAGATAAGGTCAATGTGCAGACGTCCCGAAGCAAAGTGACCCTTACAGCACACAGCAAGGCACTGCTTCTCTATGCACTAAGAGGCAGCAAAGGGCTCCCAAGTGGCCGGTTTGGAAGAGCATCAGAGGAACCACTGCTCCTCTGGAATACTTCTCACATGGAAAAAAAAGGAGGAAGGGAAAGAAGGGGAAAGAAGGGGAAAGAGGAAGGGGAAAGAGGGAAAAGGTGGGGCGGTGGGGAAATAAAAGGCAACGACTCCGATACAGAGAAAGACGGGTTCCAAGCGTATCTTGCGTCCTCCCCGAGCGGCCTCACGGCAGGCCGAGGGAGGGCCCAGGCGCGGCCGCCGGCGGGGCTCGGGCGCCCCCGCTGGGCCGCGGGCCAGGCCGCAGCCGGGAGGCTCCGAGCCGTGATGGGGCAGCGGGGAGCGGGAGAAAAAACATCGCGGAGGCAGCGGGGAACCGGAGAAAAGCTCTCCAGCAGTCACGTTCTCCGCCCAGGCGCCTCCGATCGCCCCCTGAAACTCCTGATGCAGTCACTGCCACCAGCGCAGGTGCACGCAGCAACCCACACCAGGCCAGGGAAAGGACATGAACTGCACCGACACACCGAGAGAAACAAGGAAATAATACTATTTTATCGTTATATAGCTGTAATGGTAGCTCCATAATGTACACCTGTACCTGTAAATCAGTTTCACATCTTACAGTACATTGAGTTTTAGTTATATGAAACTAAAATTAAAAATTATCCAAGACAGGCAACGGGGTCCACTTGTGAAAAGTGCATATTATATGGCTCTACACAGATATTGACTCTATGTATTTTGTTGTATTGATTAGTAGTGCTGTATTAACATTTTAATAATATGATAAATGCAGTCTTGTAGTTAAAAGGTAACTTTTGTAGTTAAAATAGGAACTATGTAAGTGGGATACTTTTTAAAGACAGGAATGAGGCACTCTCACCAGATAGCAGCCACAGGACACCTAAATCTTTCAGAGAAAAGGAATTTATTGCTCTCTTATCAGAAGAAACTGACTTCTTTCTGCCTAGCTAAGGATCGAAGGCACCTTAGGATTAGGAGGAAGAAGCTGACTATGACCAGACCAAATCCTTTATTTGAATGGAATTTATGCATCATGTATGAGATGTATGAATACCAGGCTATTGGTTTTAAGGGTTCATCCTTTAACAGGTGTCCTTTTTCAGGCTTGTGCTACCCGGATGTCTGTAACTCTTTGTTTCTATTGTCTCATATTGTCCTAATTCGAATTGTCCAAATTATTATCACTCTAAATTGTATTCCTATTTTTATAACCATTTTATTACTATTAAACTTTTAAATCAATTTTAAAAACAACTAATTGGCATTTTTCCCGCTCGGAACCACTGCAAATTGAATAACTGAATTTATCACCCAGTATTTGCCTACAAGTTCCTGTGTGGCTGTTTCCTAGAAGAAAAACAAGATTAAAAACTGACCAAAGAAGAAATGCTTAGGATCATTTGAAATTCTGGACTACTAATAGCTTGTCATGTTGGTGAAAAAAAATCTCAATACCATAGGTCAGTGGTGATTTGCATTTGCTAAAAATGCATTAAGAAAGCCATTATGGACACATATTCTGGATTTGATGTTGAAGTGCCTAGGAAAATTGCTAAGAAACCATTTTATTCTGTCTCAGAAAGATCACTCATCTGAGTGTTTCTTGCCAAAACACTACTCAGGAAAATATTTATTAAATGACAAGGTTTTTCTTTACCTTGTTCATTTTTTTCTAGAAAAGCATTCTAGTTATAACTTTCCAGGATAAACTTTAGCTCCCCCATAAATTACATTATCTGACACCAGACTTGCTGCCATGATAACCTGCAGCTTTCAGCACATCATGCTCCAGTAGTTTGAAATAACCAACATAGTGAAGGCAAATTTATTCACTCACCACTAAAGGAGGTAACTATCCCTAGCTAAAGTTTATTTGTTGATATTCTATTTTCCTCATCCTTTCAATCAGATACACAAAAACAATTTTACTATGTAGAAATAAGCCCATAGTTTCAGGGGTCTTGGCAAAGGGCCAGTTTAGCTCTGTGGACTTGGTACTCACACACTTAGTAGAAGAAAAGAGAGAAGCTCTATTAAATCCCTCAAGGTATTTTTCCACCCCAAAACTTGTCTAGCTATTGCCATGTAAGTATCTTCCTTAAAAAGAAAAAAAGTCAGCATTAAACACATTTAACATCTTACATTTTATGTTAATTCAGCAATTCTGAGTGCTATTCTGAACAGAAAAGCCTGTCAAAAATTGTGACAGCAGCAATCTCATGATAATAGCCTTGCAGAGAACTCTGCCATTGCTAAACAGAATTAATTAGACACACAGGAGGTCAGGAAGAGCAGCATATTGGCAAGGTGGACATCACAATATGCACTTCAATCCACCTGTCCAGGTTAACACATGCATTCAGCAGTAGGAACTCTTCAATCAATAATGGGCCAACACAGCCTGGTAAGATACTGTTTCACAGGCTACTCATTTTTCCAAAGTTTTATTCAGCAAGAGGCCTCACCTCCTACCTAAAACTCGTGTCACTTGTAGTGCCAACTGCATCTTTTTTTCCTCAGTACTTTGGGATCATACTTTCATAGAAAAACAATTTATCCTGTCAGGTTACCACTAGTGCAACCTTCAGCAGCAGGCCTCTCTCATTATGTCACCTAAATAGATCAGTGAAAGGCAGCAGCTGGGAAGAAAAGAAAGAAGGAAAAAGAAGTCTGACAGCTTTGCGTGCTCAAAGAAGCCATTGCTAAATAAAACACAGTGCTTACATCCACACACTTCTCACATCATTTTGTGTTCCTGTGCTATGGAAATAGGAGTTTACAGTCTAGAAGCCTGTGGCAATTCCTTGAAATGCATTTGACAAGAGTCATCTCATTACAGACTCATCTGAAATGCAGTTCAGCAAGTTTTAGATGTCTACCCAGCCATTTCCCAGTGCATCACACTCTCCTTGTATGCTATGTTGCCTGTAGCAGCAAAACCAATATTGCCCTGTTGAATGAAGCATTACTTGTAAGGAGTAGAAGCAAAAACTTTCTGCACTCCAGTCATTATCACCTAAAAGACTGGGAAGTGAAGACATTGAAAAAAGTTAACTAATACTACTCAGAGAAAAAAAATTCTAAACCGTTTCCAATCTAGTTAAAAGCTGAAGTTCAGCAAGAGCCTATGCACTTTGATCTGGAGGTTACCAGGGGCCAAGTCTGCACTATACTGATTTGGACACAGCCTCCCTTTCTGTCATGAACCAAAAACACACCAATGAATTTGCTGCCAATTTGATGCCAATCCCTCCATTCTGAACATGGATAACACCTGTGCTAAAATCCAATCCTAAATACTGGGATTAGGGCTGTGCTCAACAGATTCAATCAGCAGCTGTGCTGCAACACTGCACCATTGTGAAATAAAAGTATTAAAGCTTCTATATATATGTATCTGTATACACACATGCAAACACAATCTTTGAATTCTATCTATATACAAAGATATATTTAGAGATTATATCTGTCTTAGAATCACAGAATCCACTGAGTTTGAAGGGACCCACAAGGATCATCAAGTCCAGCTCCTGGCCATGCACAGCACCATCCCCAAAAGTCACACCATGTGCCTGAGGGCATTGTCCAAATGCTTCTTGAACTCTGTCAGGCTTGGTGCTGTGACCACTTCTCTGGAGAGCGTTCCAGTGTTCAACCACCCTTGGGTGAAGAACCTTTACCCAGAATCTAATCTAATGTATATATATTATATTATATTATAATATATATATTTATATTATTATTATATTATTATATTATTTTATATAATATATTATATAATATGTTATATATTATTATATTATTTATATTATTATAATAATATATATTTATATATATTCAATACATATATATATAACTATATATATATATAACAATCTAATATTTCTCTATATGTTTTATATAACAATTAATGTCTATAATATCATAAAATACAATGTATAAGTATATCAATAAACTTACTTTGCTTTCACTCCCTCCCCTCCCTCCCCTTTCCCCAGCTAGGGAAGGCAGTACCACAGAGAAGTTTGTGGTATTCCCTACCTTTCACAGAAAATGCTCAGAACCTCCTTTTGATCTTCCCTTGTTCAAAGTGTGTAGAGAGTACCTACTAAAAAGTTCGCATTCTACCAAAACAAACATTATACTTTGAAAACAACTCTCTTAATGGAGAGAACAACAAAATTGGATATGTTCTATCCATAGTACACGTTAGCCACACTACTACTTAATGCACTCCTGAAAAGCACTCAGCTACTGCTTGGGAAATAGAAATCCACATTCCTTTATCTATAGGAAAAACATTTTTTAAATAGTCTCAGTGTTATTTACCATGATAAGCTACAAAGTTAAATAATATTTGTATATTGCATATGAGCTGATTATCATCAAAATAAACATGACCTAATTCAAAGTCAATTCACCATTAATCCAACACACTTGAATTCAAGCATGCAAAATATCTACCTCAAGCTTTTGTGACAGAATCTGAGAACAAAACTGTTATCAGCTTGGGAAACAACAATAACAGAATGCTTCAAAAAGAATTAGTTTCCCTGGGTAATCAAGGTACACCAATGAAGTAATGTATTTCAGTCAAAATAGATGTTATGTCCTTCTACAAACAACTTTCTCTTCTAGATATCATAGAATCATCAAAGAATCATCAGAGAATGATAGAAGGGATCTTGAAGATTATCTAGTTCCAGCTCTCCTGTCATGGACACCTTTCACTAGACCAGGTTGCTCAGAGCTCCATCAAAGCTGGCCTTGAACACTGCCAGGGATGGGGCATCCACAACTTCTCTGGGCAACTTGTCACATACCCAGCCTTGCAGTTCAGATTTGGCTTCTCTACTTTATGAGACTTTATGAAACTAAAACTATTATACACTTACTTCCTACTGAGATACTTCCCTGTGTGAGTGAGTTGGCTGCATGAGTCTGTATAAACAAGTTAAGCAAGTTTGCTGGTGATTTGCCTTCATATGATAAGAAATTGAACTTTTTCAAAATAGTTGCAGAACTTATTGGAGTACCAGGTAAAGTGAGTGAATACACTCAGGTACTCACTAAAATGTCCAAATGCCTAACAATTTCATTGCCTGAAAATAAAAAATTGAGTACAGTCATCACTTCATCATGCTGGCTACAGTCAGCAAATCAACAACTTTCAGATATCAAGACCCAAAAGAATTTTGCTGGTTTTGCTCTCAGGAGATGAAATGTCAGCAGATTCTTTTTCCTGTCCTCCCTATTTCCCATTTGACCTCCAAACTAGTGTGATAGTTCCTCATCTCAAAAAACATGAGTTTGTACCTAGGGTTGTCTAACCAATGGCTTGTCCTTTTACCAGTAATTCATACTGGCCCTAATTAATGCTGACCCTACAGTCTTTCATTCTGTATAGCTTTAATGCAGCTTTTGAAGTTTTCAGTAACATCTGCCCTGAATCAGTCTGGAGAAACCAATTTGAATGTGGAAGTGTGATGATGAAAGTGCAGCATCATAACCATTCTGTCATCAAAACAGCTTGAGATTTTAATGATTCAAGAGTTAAATAAAACCAGTTATTGCTACACAGTGTAGACTTATCAGACATATAACATCAAACTATTACAGAATGGAAATCCAGCCAAGATACCCTACATCTGCTTTTACCTGGAGAGCCAACTTGGCAAAAAACTGGCTGCTCAGGGAGTGGCAGGAATCTGCAATTGTGCAATTTAAGCGATGGAGATGTGACAGGTTTTTCAACATTGCTGCAACTGAATACTTTTGCTCTTTGATATCAATATATTGGACACTGTTTCACAAAGCATAATGTACCAATTCAGAGAGTCTTACCTGATTTTTGAAATATACAGCAATGCTAATTTTCTGATCTGCCTCAGCACAGGCAGCATATTACAGAGTACTTAGACGGAGAAACACAAGGGGTCTTTCGGTTTGACTTTTTAACTATTGTAAAAGAGGTCATCTAAATTCAAGTCAGTAATTTAAGTATCTTATTGGTTAAAGGCAAAGACCAAATTAATAGAAAATAATAGACAACAACCACAGAAGTCTTGTGAATGCTCCCCTCAGATCAACAGGGAATAAGGAACAGCCAATTATTGTGACAATTGTACCCTCACACACAGATCACTTAGCATGACTTGAGAGATGACAGTGAGGTGGCTTCATTTAAACAGTGAGACCTAAAAAAATACCAAAAGCTACTGCTATTATAAAGCATCTACTTTCCAAAGTAAAACTCAAAAAACTCATTTTTCTTTTTTCTTCTTTTTTTTTAATTCACTCCAGCAAGAAACCTAAATAATATTAAGATCAGCAGCCAGAGACAACTGAAAAGTTTCAAGAAAAAATTTTCATGCAATTTCATTTGGAGTTGTCTCACAGCTCTTTCGTTCATTAAAACACTCTAAAAGACTTTCAGCAAGAAATAAAACTGAAAAAATAACAACAGTAAACCTGGTATTAAGGATAAAAAGAAGACACAACTAAGTGTCATTTAACTATAAAATGAAAAACTAAAATAGAGTGGGAGGGGAGGGATGTTGTATCATACCTTTGTAGGAATCCGTAAGTTTTCAATAGGACTGAGGTCATTAACACTCTCCTGAGGACTTCTTAGACCCTTTAAAAGAATAATAATCAGTTCAGTTTGATTCCTTTACGAATCTTGCAATCAAGTCTTACCTGATGTTGAATAGGTATCTACAGGTCTCTTAATAAATACTCTGACATGTAGCTGGAAGGCTAAGACCTCATTCTAGCAACATTTCAGCATGACCATCAGTATATAAATTATGTTCCACAAACATCTAAGCATTTCCAGCAATATGTACCTTTTCAGTACAGTTCACATTTTCTTTATCAAACTCACATCCTCCTGTTAATGTCCAGATGGTATCTTAAATTTTAGAATGAGCATGTATCCAAAAACCATAGCATACTTTGTACCACTAACTTTATGATTTGATGGAATCAAATAACTGAATTCAAGTTAGATGCCAGCTACTCTATTGCAAGATTATTTCTGCTTGATGGCATATTTTTCTACTTACCATATTCCACTACTAGGACTGGCTTTCCCTATGTGTAAATGAACTGAAAAGGTTGCATAATCCACACTAGCTGCTTTATATAATTATTACTTCTTAAAACACATATAGCCACATAAATAGCATGTATGTTTGTTGAATATCAAACATATTTACAATTTTCATAGAAAGGTTTGGGCTAGAAGGAAACTAAAGATCATGTAGTTCCAAGGGACACCTTCCACTATATCAGGTTGCTCAGGGCCCCATCCAACCTGGCCTTGAACACTTCCAGGGATGGGGCACCCACTTCTGACAACCTGAAACAGCATCTCACCATTTCAAGCAGCAATACCACAGAACAGGGCTTAGTATATCTTCTGCCAGCTCCAGGCAGAAATGAATCTACACATCCAATTTTCAGATATGGTTCTGACTCCAGCTTCCCTTGAGACTTCAGTGTGTTCCTGTGAGTGAAAAGTTTCAGGCAGACTTTCTTCCTTCTCTTGTGATCAATGTTAACAGTATTTTTTCCAAGCCCCTTTCTGGTCCTGGGTACCTATATTTCTAAAAGGACCTACTATATCAGTTTGTGGTGAGAAAGTTTGTATTTATTCTTTGAAACTGACAAAGCATTGTACATCATTTCAGTGCTAACTACTACATTTTACAACTGTTTCATCCTCCCAAGATGCAGAACCTCTCCATTTTGGTCTTGATTCTCAGATTTTGTCATACATCACTTCAAAACATCCTCCCTCTGCAGTTGCCACCATCAAAGATGACTCACCTCTATGCATCAGAAATTCAAAGTAAGAAACAAGCAAAGCAACTGCTGCAGTTTCTCATACTTCACACAAAATCTTCCCCAAGTCCTCTCAAAAATATGCAGTTCTAGTGACTTACCTCCAGAAGAAATAAAATGTTTCACTTATCAAATGGTAAATGGAACCTAATCTTTTCAAATGACTGAAAATTGCCTAAGTTGTTATCATTTGCAGAAAACATCCTCTCCACACTGGGCAGGCTTCCCGGCACTCCTCCCAGTCAAGCTGAAAAGGAATCATGTAACCCTCTACTGAAGCAGAACAGAACATTATTCTGGCAATTCCACTTTCACACAAGTGTTCATTTTTAAGCCCTACCTCTTGCATAAGGATCACAACTCTGAGGGCATAGTTCTAGGGGAAAAAAAGCTTCTGACTATCCCATGATTTTCTATAACTATCTAGAATACCTGATGTGGGCGACACAAGTGATTTTTTTTAAGTTCTCTAATTAGACACAAATAAAGAGGCTTCTTTTCAGGGATATCTTATATATGTGAATAACTGGAATGTTCTACTGATGCACTTCCTTAAAAGGACTCTCAATCTTAGAAATATTAGTCCAAAAGTAGGCTTAGATCTACATAATCCTGGAGACAACCAGTACAAGAAGCAGACAGCAGGGAGGTGACAGACACACACCGAGGGCTCTGGCACACACTCACTATGTGCCCACCCAAATCTGTCCCTGGCACCTTCTCAGCCTCGCCTCCCTTTGGACCAAAAGCATTTGCTGCCAGACAAAGCCATGTTACAGAACCACAGCCCAGCGCTCAGAATTATATGTCAAAAAAGCAAACTGACACGGGCCCGCCCTGTCATCTTCAACAACGATTTCTCTGTTGTGACAAGAGCTACGCGTTGGCACCTGCGCACGCTACCATTTCTCGGAGGAGAGGAACAAGGCGGATGCGTGTGCAGCAGGAGCCCGCACGCCCCGAGCGCTCCCCGGCAGGACAGAGGGCGATGCCCGCGCACCAGGGGCTCTCCGGAGTGCCCGGGCACGGCGGCCCCGGGGAGAACCCGGGATGGTCGCAGCGGTACCCGGCCGCCCCCGAGAAGAGCCGCTCACCTGGCGGGTCATCAGCGACTTGATCTTCTGCATGATGGCCCCGCCGCCGCCCCGACTCCGCTCAGCGGCCGCGCAAGGCGCCGGGGCACGGCGCAGCCATGTTGGGCGCCACCTGACCGCGCCCGCCCGCGGCTCCCTGGGAGCGGTAGTTCTCGAGCGGCCGGCACGACTACAAGTCCCGGCAGCGCGGGCGGCAGGGCGGGCTCTGGAGCTGTGGTGTTTGAGTATTGGGGCTCGGCTGTGTACATTTCGACGTGCTTAGCTCAGGAGAGAAAACGGAGTTCTGTGTATGGAGACAAGCTAGAGCGTACATGTAGACGAGGAGAAATTCCTGGTTGTGATTGTCTCGGGTTCTTTCGGGCATTATGCACAGAGCGCGTCTGGCCTGTTCACGGGTGATGGATGTAGTTTTGCGTCGGTAAAAGAGGCTTGTGTCACTCTTATTTAGTTGTATTGATAGCAACTTTAAAAAAGCACACACACCAAAACCCACCAGGTAGCTTTTTAAATCTAATTTGTATCAGCCCAAGAAAAGAAAGAATTCATCCTACAGTCTTTGCTTAAGTGGAGGCAGTATTAGAGGGTGAGGCCACCTGCACATCGGCTGTGGCATGCTTGTGCCTGTAGGAAAAGGAGTTTTTTCCTTCTCCAGGGCACGTAGGTCAGCTCCGTGTGTTTCCTGATCCTGCTGTTACCCTGCGTCCCAGCTGCTGCTGGGTTGTTGCAGGGTAGGGCAGGTACGAGCAGGTGCCTTTGAAACCACACACTGACAAAGGGAGGGTCGGGAGCATGGTCCCTCCCTGCTTCCTTTGGCAGGAGCTCATTACTTCTGGCTACCATTGGGAATATCGTTTAAGTGTTTCATGGAAAACTTCTAACAAGTTTAGCATATAACAAAGTTACTTCTCATTAACAAAATGACTAAATTTTGTCATTTTAAATGACAGCAGATTGTTGGTGCTGCAAATAGTGTTGCTTTAAATTAGTTGCTTCTATTCAAAAGCGGGGAGGTTTGATTTGTATTGTCTAAATGCCATTTAACAACTAGCGCAAGCTACAAGTCTACTGAAAATCCATTTTCTACATGCATGACATTTGTGTGAGTTCATGTAAAAACTTGCAGTATATTAATATCATCAAGAATATATTAAAATGCTGGAAATGACACAATTGAAAAACATAACTGGGCTTATCTGTTCCTTTTTTATTATTATTTTCTTGGCCCATATGGGACATTTAAAGTGCCAACCCAAGTTTTATTCCAGTACTAAACATCCCATTATTTCAGTTAGAACTTAGTTGGAATCTATGACCAATATCTTGTTACATGGTTAAATCAAATTGATAATAATTTCTAACCTAGGTTTTATAAAAGGTTGCAATTTGATATATCAAGCCTGCAGTTAGGTGCATTAAGCAGCTTCCAAACAAGAACATTCAGGTGGGCAGGACAATGGAAAGCTTTTGGGAATACGTGAAATACCCTCTTCATCTCCTGACTTATGTCAAGTGGTGATATTATTTCTGGTGGGATCACTAAACTTCTGCTTTGGTAACCTGGAATAACCCTTGTGTTTCTTATATTGGACCTGGAAGCACCTGGGTGTTTTCACCTCTCTTTAACTAAGGTAAAAATTGAGGGCTCATCCCTTCTGATGGGGGCTTAGCACCTTGCTGGACCCTTGCTCCTAGCACACAGTGAGGGGGAGGCAACTCCTTCCTACCAGTTGCTTCTGCACAAAGTGGAATGCAGTCTAGCCTAATGTTTGTTAATCCATAATAGTCTGCCTAAGTGCTGTTTAGTGAAAAATATTGTGTGATTTTGTATGGATAAACCATCTCTGTCACTGCTAATATTTGCTGTTGCAAACTGTTACTGCACAGCTCTGGGAGGGTTTGTCCAGTTTGCAGCTGATTTGTATGGTGAGTGACAGCTTTGGACAAAATCCAAACCCTACATTAACATTAATTTAAACTGATGTAAGTTAATGGAGAAGAAACAATAATCAGCAGTTAACAACTGTAGTAAGATGTCCACTCTAGTCATAGGATTTTAATTTCAAAGATGTGTCATAGGCACTTGAATCACATGTTGTTTAGAGAAAGGGAGTTAATTCTTTGCTGAGTTATACTTATGTTAAGGAAATAAATACAGAAAAGTTATGGACTAAGAAAAAAAATTAGAAAGGCTCTTTAATAGCTGTTTAACAGGGGTTTTTTTGTAACAGAAAATGAGAGGCTGTCATTTAAAAAGTTCTGAAAAAATATTCTGAATACTAATTTTAGTTTGAAATAAGCATGTAGCATCACAGTATTTTTTATGAAACTGTAACTAAAGGAAGTTAATAACAGTATAACCTGTTCACCTGCTGCGTTTACTTACTTCTATTAATTAAATGTACTTTGTATTGTGTGCCCCATTTATTACATTCTGTGTCATATTTGCTGTGACTGCTGGGGAAGGGTTATAATAAAGGCAATGAAGATGGGTCCTCATCTAACAGGTGCTCCACTCCCTTTGTTCTTTGTATACACATATTCAAATCACCTAAGGCAGGGGACAGGATAGGACCTGTTAACTCATTGCTAATTTCCCTAGCAAATAAACCAGCAGCTGCAGGTCCAAGCCCTGGCTTAGTGTGAGAGGGTGGCATTTGTGTGGGACAGGATGCTTTCATGGAGCCCTTTAGCCAACTTCTTTTGGGACTTACAGTGCAAAATATATTTTCTGCTTGTAGGTAAGATACAGCATTAATTATATTTGGTTGTCGTTGTGGAAATGTGAATTGGTTCTGTTAGATTGATCTTTATAAATTTAAAGATATTTCTGTTGTATTGTCAGATGCTTGATTTCAGGAAGGTAGCCTAAAATCTTTTCAGCAGATAGTGGCACTTTGTTTTATGAGTGAAGCTAAAGTTCTAGCAGCTGAGCAAAAATGAGTGCTATACATAATCTCTATGTAAAACTTGGCATTGATTGAATACACATAAACTACATGTAAAACATGGGTATTGATTAAATACATACTATTACATTTTATTGAGTAACATATACGTTGTGCATTCTTTTTAACAAGTAAGGCTGGACAGGTTCTGAACCAGATTATAAGGAAGCTGTTACACACTTCTTTAACAATTTATTGAGACAACACTGATATGTTATTTTTCACTTTATTAATAATTAATTTATATGTAACATCTAAATCTAATTGGTATTGAAACTAAATTAAGCTTCTAGTCAGCTGAAGAATATCTCCCCATTAACAGAGTGTTTGTTTGGTGTCTGTGTGCAGTTTTTGTAAGTGCATTTTTTATCCATGCAATGGATAAAAAATAGATGTTCTATGTACTTTGACAGAAATATCCTGTAATCAAATGTTAGATAAGCTTATTTCTACAAACTACTGTAATTACCTTTTTCTATATTTAATTGGTTTTGTAAATGTCAACAGAGGAAATATATAATATTACAAATGTAGTGCATCCTCTAATCCTTCATGTATAGGAATAATTTTTATCTTCTTTGTGAACCTCACAGTTCTAGCTTATTATAGAGTCACCTAGTTTCCTTGATTTTGAGCTCAATATTTTTTCAAGAGTTTTGGCTTCATAATGATTGATGTTTTATATGATGATTATCAGATCTCTTCTTTAAAAATGAAAAAATGTTTGATTGATAAAAAGCAGTGATTTTGTGCTTTGTCTACTTTACCACTTTATTGGATCTTTTTCATTAAAATCCTGCAAGAGTTATTGTCATGCAAACAGAGTGCTTAGAGTACAGGTTTATTCACCATGAAGCCTTACATCCGTACCCCGATAGACACATTTTCTAGTAAAGGAAATGTGCTGCCCATACTTCATATCATGGTGAGAATCAGGTGCATTGGAGACATGACACAAAGGCCACTAAAGGCCTCAGTAAATGAAATTAAATCCTGTAACAAATCTCAGTGGAACTGTTTCTTGGGGAAAAATCCCAATCTAGGCAAGAATATTCCCAAATTTTCCATTTTAGAAATTACAGCTTTCCTGGACCATTACATCTGGGTTGTTTGGGGTTTTTTGTTCCATAAATGAACATACTTGTAAAACGGGGAAAAAATATATATTTCACTGATCTAGTGACATTTTGCACCAAGTTCAGGAGAGCTGAAGGGCTAAATGAACATTCTGGTGAAAAGCAGTTGAGAATCCAAACTCACTTTGACAAGGAGATGTGCATGTTAAATTCTGAGAATCCTAAAATCTCGCTAAGCAGGTTTCAGTTTGTGCCATAAACTCAAAAGTTATGTCATAGTTTTTTATTTAAACTAAAACTGCAGCCCTTGTTTTATGTCAACAACAATTCTGTTGTGCTTGCTAATACTGATGATAGCAATGTGAAATGGAAGCAAAGCACAGATCACTGAGCTCCAAATGGAGGTCGTTGTGGTACAGCCCTTACAATCATTATACAAAAGTTAGGTTTGGAATTTCATCATCTTGGGAAAAACAAGTGTATTATATTTGTAAAGCAGTAGGGATAGGCTTGAATGTTATGGAATTTGGCCCTGAAAAATATGAATTTAGTTTGACACATTGGCTTGATTTTGCTAATAACTTTAATTCAAGAATTAGTCATAATAGTCTCCAGTTTAAATTAAAAATCAAAATTAGTCTAATACAAGTGAATCTTAGAACCCTTTAGGTTGGGGAAGACCCTAAAGAGCATCAAGTCCAGCCATAAACCTAATACTGCAAATTTCTCCATTAAAGCATGTTCCTGGGTGCCACATCTGCATCTTTGAAGTATCCCCAGGGAGATGACTCTACCACTTCCCTGGGTGTCCCATTTGAATGCCTGACAACACTTTTGATGAAGAGGATAGCCCTCTCAGTAAAGAATATTCCAGACTGCAGAAGACATGATCTCTGCTAAGACTGGAATATTTCCATCACTGCTCCCATAAAACCTTTGCCTTTCACAGAGCACCATTATCTAATAACTTGCCCCAGACCCAGCCTGCCTTCTCCCTTGCCCCTCCAGCCATGGGGAAGCTCCTGTGGGATGTTGGCACTCCACAAAATCACCCCAGCA